TATTATATTGATATTTAAATGAAGTTTTGAGAAGGACCGGCGTAGACAAACGATTGTTGAATACAGGAAAAAGTCCGTATCAGCAGATTGTCAAATATTTGATCAAACTAGTTTGAGCTACTTCTTCTTCTTCTTCTTTTTTTTATAAGCAAAATGCTTGTTCAATGTCGATTAATGCCTCTATTGGAGGTCATCACTCCATTTTGCGTGGTCGCCCGATACTTCTTCTACCTTTTGGTGATTTGTCCCTCGCTATTCTGACTAATTGTAGCTAGACATCAGTAACACTCAGATGGGATTCAGAAAAGGGCTGGGTACAAGGGAGGCTCTGTTTGCAATGAACGTTCTCTCACAGAGATGCTTAGACATGAACCAAGAAATTTACGCCTGCTTTATTGATTTCGAAAAGGCCTTTGACAAAGTACAACATGAAGCACTAAGACAAGTTCTAATAAAGAATAATATAGACAGCCGAGATATTCGAATTATATGCAATCTATATTGGAATCAAACAGCAAATGTCAAGGTTGAGGGCAGACTAACAGAAGAAATTCAAATCCGTCAAGGAGTCCGGCAGGGATGTATCTTATCGCCACTTTTATTTAATCTGTATAGTGAAGCTATCTGTGAACAAGCACTCGAGGAAGAAGATCTTGGTCTGATAATAAATGGTGAGACGATCAACAATATAAGGTATGCTGACGATACAGTTCTCCTAACGGGAACGCTAGTAGAACTACAACATCTCGTTCAAAGTCTCAATATATACTGTAACAGTTACGGCTTGAAAATTAATTTGAAAAAAACTAAATTTATGGTAATCACGAAATCAAAGAACATCAGAGCTAATCTTGTAATAGACAATACAACGATTGAGCGTGTGCCCTGTTATAAATATCTAGGTGCTTGGATCACAGACGATACTGATCAAACAAAAGAGATTAGATGTAGAATAGAAATCGCCAGATCAGTCTTTAATAGAATGCGCAAACTCTTTTGCAATCGTGATATCAATATAAAGTTACGAATACGAATGCTGCGGTGTTATGTCTTTTCTACCCTGTTATATGGAGTTGAGGCTTGGACACTAAAACAGTTGACCATAAAAAACATCGAAGCTTTCGAGATGTGGTGCTATAGGCGCATTCTTAGAATATCATGGATAGGACCGCGTCACTAACACGCAAGTACTCCAAACTTTAGACAAAAGATGCGAAATTCTAAATGAAATAAAAACTAGAAAGATGGAATACTTGGGGCACATTGTGAGAGGTGAAAAGTACGAACTTTTAAGAAACATCATGCAGGGCAAAATTAAGGGCAAAAGAAGTGTGGGAAGAAGAAAAATATCGTGGCTTCATAATCTACGTGAATGGTTCGGGTGTAGTTCGATTGAACTTTTCAGGCGCGCTGCTAACAAAGTCGCAGTGGCCATGATGATTTCCAATCTCCGCTAGGAGTGGCACGAGAAGAAGAGAAGATTCTGACTAATCGGGTCTCTTCCATTCTGTTTATGTGTTCGTTCCATTCCTTTTTTCTATTCAGTGTCCACTCATTTATTTCTGGTATATTGCATTTTCTTCTGATCTCTTCACTCCTCATTCGATCCCTCAGTGTGTTTCCTGTAATTCTCCTCAGTAAACGCATCTCCGCTGTTTCTAGTAGTTGCTGAGTTTTGGAGGTATCCGGTCTTGTCTCTGAAGTGTATGTCAATATTGGTCTTATTGTTGCTTTGTAGATTCTTGATTTCACGTCGGTATTAATGTGGGGATTGCGCGATATCGTGTTATTAAGACAAACTGCTATTTTATTAGCCTTTTGTACTTGATTTTTCACTTCCTTCTCCACATCTCCGTAGCTAGACAGTGTAATTCCTAGGTAATTTGTCTCCATTACTTGCTCAATGCTGATACCGTCGATTTCCAGTTTACAGCTAATTGGTTCTTTACTGATTACAATTGTTTTAGTTTTCTGTGTAGAGATCACCATATTAAAGTCCTTTGCCCTTGTGTTGAATCTATGGGTTAGTCTTTGTAGATCGTCTTCATTTGATGCAATTAGGGCCGCATCATCTGCATAGCAGAGTATTCTGATTTCTTTGTTCCCCATTTTGTATCCTCTTCCTTTATTAATAGTATTGATGATTTCATCCATGATTAGATTGAATAGCGTTGGACTAAGCGAGTGCTTGAGCTACTTGACGTATCATAATTACAGTTTATTGAAACTTATTCCTGGCTCCAATATATTTTTAACTTTTATTTTTGATAACAAAATCCCTGATACGTATCATCTGAACTCGGTCAATCAAGTATATTCTCAGCCATCTAAGAAGTGGCCCATCAACAACCATTTTTTTTAAGTTTAACTATTAAAATATTATGGTTGATCCGATCAAAGGCCTTCGAGAAATCAATCTATAGTGCATGTACCCTACAACTCCTCTCAATGGCCTTCCTCAGGAAGTCCACAAACACTAGTATATTACATTCAGTTGATCTGATATTCTCTTACACAAGAAGGGAGATATAGCAGACCTGGAAAGATACAGACCAATCAGTCTCCTTAACCATCTTTATAAATTATACCTCCGAATAATAACGAATAAATTAGAGACAAAGCTGGATTTTTACCAACCTCGGGAACAAGTTGGTTTTCGCCCTAATTACGGCACAAACGATCATCTGCAATGCCTAAAAACCCTGATAGAAAAAACTAACGAATATAACCGTCCCTTGGCATTAATATTTGTAGACTTTAAAAAGGTGTTTGATACAGTGGAACTACCGTCCATCTTAAGAGCACTACAAGATTGCAGGGTCGACCATAGATATTGTAATATAGTCAAAAATATATATGAAAATGCCACAACAACCATAAGTCTACATTCTGCAACTAATAAAATAAAGATAAAAAGGGGAGTCAGGCAAGGTGATACCATGTCACCAAAGCTGTTCATTACCGTTCTTGAGTATGCATTTAAAAAACTAACATGGCAGGAAAAAGGAATATCCATCGATGGAGAAAGATTAAACCATCTACGTTTTGCGGACGATATCGTGCTTATGTCAGATAATCTGGGAGAGATCAAAGACATGCTCCAAGAACTGAATGACATACTACAAGAAACTGGGTTGGAGATAAATTTCGAGAAAACCAAAATGATGACCAATATGGTTCTCAGCGAAGAGATACAGATTAATAACAACAAGGCCGAATTAATCGATAAATACACATACTTGGGTCATGAAATTAGAATAACCAGAGACAACCAAACCTGCGAGCTAAATAGACGAATCACGTTGGGATGGGCGGCATATGGAAGGATGAGAGACATTTTTAAAACAAATATCCCAATTCACCTGAAAAGAAAGGCATTTAACCAATGCATCTTACCAGTCTTAACCTATGGAACACAGACCCTAACTTTAACGAAAGCTACTGCCAAAAAACTGAGGTTAACACAAAGGCGAATGGAGAGATCAATGCTGGGCCTGACCTTGAAAGATCGCGTGAGAAATGAGGAGATACGCCGACGAACTGGCGTAGACGATATTATACTGCGAATCAATAAACAAAAGTGGAGGTGGGCTGGACATGTTGCTAGAATGGAAGACGGAAGATGGACGAAGAGATTATTGGAGTGAAGACCAAGAGCCGACAAGCGAAGTCGAGGCAGACCACCCACCCGATGGACCGACGACCTAAGGAGAATAGAAACAAACTGGATTGCGGCAGCTAAAGATAGAGATAACTGAAGACGTTTGGAGGAGGCGTATATCCAACAATGGATGTGAAAATGGGGCTGGATGATGATGATGATGATCTGATATTCCGAAATCCAAATTGTTGGTGTACCTACTAGCTGTTTTTCAAATGAAGCTTTAAGATAGTCACATACAAAACATTCAAATATCTTTGGTATTACACTAATTATATTATTACACTAATTATCTCCTGCTTTAAAAATAGGTGTTAAAAAACTATTTTTCCAGTATTCTGGAAATTCACCCTTATTTAAGAATAGATTAAAAATGTGAAAAAGAGGTCTGGACAATATAAAACAACAATTCTGGAGAAAGCTGGGAGGCAGATATAGTTATGTTGAAACCAGTCAAGTTAGTAAGACCAAGTGAAGGTGAATCACTGGGTATGTCACATATTTGAGTGGAATAAATTGTTGTAGAAAAATATTCTGCAATAAGATTTACAATATCTGGTCAGTGACTGGATTCAACACCACCATAACTCAACACAGCGGGCAAGGAAGGCTTTGAAATCCCTTCAAATTATTTCCTAGTGATAATTCTGTTAAATAAATATGATTTCTGTAGTCTTCAGCTTTTAACAATTTACAGTTGACCTTCAGCTGAGAAAAAAAGCGATAATCCAGAGTTTGGGTATAATACATCTAGGCTATGCAAGTCTCATGCTATGCATGTCCATCTTGCATGGTATATCTCTTGCCTAACCTGATCTATTTACATCATCAGAGCTATTTTTGTGCAATTTTGAGATATGAGTTTCACTGTTGCCAACGGAAAAAATACAACAAAAAAATTACTTTCAATATTTCACTTGGAAATTTCAGTCCATCAATTCATCCAATCAATTTGGATTATAGTGCCATTGGAAGTAGAGGTTCATTAGGAAAAAGAAATCACCTTAGAAACAAAAGCGAAGATATCTATTTTTAATGTATACTTGTCTAAATGTATGATTGCGAAGCTTGGACTCTAAGTGATGATATTTTCACATATGTTTTTTGAATAAACTTTCAGACTTGCAGAGTATAATTAAATGAGTGTAATTAATTATTTGAGAAAGTAAAACACCGCTCCATGTGCAGAACAGAATGACAACTTCTTTATTATTTCTGTCATGGTAGCCAACCTGATTTACAATATGTTTGGGGATCAGGATAGACAACATTTCAATACTTAAACACCTACATTATTTTTTTTTTTTAATTGGTAATCTGTAAGTGAATATAAACTATTTTAAAGTAATTTATTTGCAGAAAGCATCTACATGTAATTTTTATATAATTATATTTATTTCATGATAATATTCGCCCAAGCATTAATACAAGCCTTTATATTCTCTGCACTTTTTTTGTTGCAATCAATAGGTATCTCCTTATAATTTATTTATGTAATACATCAACATCAAAATCCGAAACTGTAAGTAATTCGTCTTGGACAATTGGTATTCCTGATATGCTGTAATGACTCGAAGAAATGGTCTGAAATGATAAAACTAAGCTAGAAAATTGCTACAATAATTATAATAGGTATTTAAAGTTTTAATTATAGCAATAATAAAGTATTAAATTTATAATTTAATATCAATTATTCAAAGTATAGCTAATTGCGCTTTAATACAGTTCTTAAATGGTCTAAAATCCAATTCAAGAACTTGGCCTTCTAAAATCCGATTAAATTTTGGTACCAATATTCTATATAAACAGTCACAAGGAACAATTGTAACAGTATGTTCAGAAGTAAAAAAAATGTTTACAAAACAATATTTTTATTCACAAATCAGCTATTTTTATAAATATCTGCCTAAAAATTGCTGTAAGGTTTAATAACGATGTATATGTATATCTAAAAATCATACGAACACGCTTAATTTTGTTTTGGATGCCAATTTTGCACATGGATTTGCTATTGGATGCACTGAAAATGACAAAGAACAGGGAAGTCACGGTAGTTATAGGCTATTTCAATGCAAAAGTCGACAAGGAAAGAGCTGGAACAATAATGAGAGATCAAGGACTAGGGGAACGTAACGATAGAGGAGATCCTCTAATACAATTCTACGAAGAATAAAGTCTAATAATCACAAACACGTTTTTTAAATTACCTATGAGACGGTTATAGACATGGCGCCCACCAGCAAATAAACCGGAAAAGGTGGTAAGAAACCAAATCGATTATATAATGATTAAAGTGATATCGTAACACAATCAAATCAGTTAAAATATATCCAGGAGCAGATGTCACATCAGACCATAACCCACTAATCGCTAATGTCACCCTTAAGCTTAAACGTATTAGAAAACCCCAAAGAATTCCAAAATTAGATTTTAGAAAACTGAAAGAAGCTGATATAAAAAAAGGAAACTCCAAACTCCAACAGGAAATATACGAAAACTTTGATAAATTAGATACTAACATCTACGAGATAAACCAACAATGGGAAACATTAAAAAACTGCCTCCTCGTTCCATACAAAGAAAAATAAAAAAACAGATAAGAAAGAGAGACAACTGGATGACCGACGAAATACTCAGAAGGATGGACCAAAGACGACAAGCCAAGGACAAAGACGTTCACAATGACAAAATCATTAACAATGAATTCAGAAAAATGATAAGAAATAGATAAGGCAAAACAAACTTACTATGAGGAAAAATGTAGAGATAGAATATCTTCAAAACAAATACGACATATTCAACCTACATAAAAATATTAACGAAATGGCAGGGCTGCAAATAAGAAACCACAATACAACTCTTTTAGATAAAAATGAAAATACTATGATAACGACTGACGAAAAGCTAAAACGATAGAAATAATATATGGAAGAGCTCTTCGACGACGAAAGAGGAAACCTACGAGACATATCTTTTGAGGATAGAGAAACAGGTATAGAAATTACAAAGGAAGAAATATTGTATGCACTAAAGAACCCCGGAAACGGAGCGAGATCAACTGCCTATTGATATCTTTAAAATAATAGAAAACGAGTACATGGATGTCCTCTTAAAGTTCTTTAATGAAATTTTTTCTCTCGGGTGACATACCCAATGGAATCTTAACATTTATTTGTCTAATGCACCGACCACAGCACCATAAGCGTGATATCTCACACACTTAAAATGTTTTTGAAAATCATCCATAAATGCATTTACCAAATACTTGCCATGGATATTGAAGACCCAATTTAGATTCCGTGAAGGCGTAGCTACCATGAAGCTCTATTTGCATTCAACGTACTGATCCAGATATGCTTGGATGTGAACCAAAATATGAACGTCTGTTTCATAGATTACAACAAGGCTTTCGATAAAGTCCACCACAAAGAGCTAATGGACGTCCTCAAAGCAAAGCAAAACAATTACAGTACAATGACCTTCGAATTATAACAAATCTATATTATAAAACAGCGGGCACACATACGCATTAATGAACACACATCAGAAGAGTTAGAAATTAAAAGAGGAGTACGACAGGGGTGTGTATTGCCACCACTACTATTCAATACATACTCTGAAGAAATTATGAAAAGAGCTTTTGAGGGGAAACAGCAGGAATAAAGGTCAATGGAACACCAATTAACAACTTTAGATATGCGGACGATACTATCATAATAGCAGATAACCTCCAAGACCTCCAAAAGCTAATGAACGAGATAGTTGAGTATGGCGATGAATATGGATTATCAATAAACATCAAGAAAACTAAATTTATGAGGATATCAAAAACCCGAAATAATAATGAAAGCCTGATAATTAAGGGTAAAACTTTAGAACACGTTGAAAACTACAATTATCTTGGCACAATAATTAATCACACCAATGATTACTCCAAATAAATCAAAATTCGAATAGAGAAATCACGAATAAACTTCAATAAAATGAGAAAGGTGCTTTGTGCAAGAGAACTGAAATTAGACTTGAGAGTTAGGCTGACAAGATGTTATATTTTCCTGACTCCGCTTCCGGGATAGAAGCATGGACACTTAAAATAAAAAAGACAAAAAGACAAAATGAGGAACCAAGACTTAAGGAAAAAGAACAGGTATCACTGATGTCGAACGTATAGCCAAGCTGGAATGGAATTGGGCAGGTCACATAGCGAGACAAAAGACTCGAGATGGACCAGAAAACTAATTGACTAGCGCCCAAGAGAAGACAAACGCAGCAGATGACGACCACCAACACGCTAGATGGACGACATTAAACGAATATCCAAGAAATGGCAACAAGACGCACAGAACCGTGAAGAGTGGCGAAAAATGGGAGAGACCTATGTCGAGCAGTGAATAGAAGAGATTGTATGATGACGATGAGTACTGTTCTATAGTGTAGTTGTGTTTCCCAAACCCAACCTTATATAGATTAAAGGAAACTATCACCGGACAATTTTGTCCAAAAAAATACACTTTGTTTAACTCACTGAAAAAAAAACCGTTAAAATTAAACTTTTTATTAGAATAAACAAAAATTGTTAAATAGTTTGTCTCACGAGTTGACTTTCGATGCCCTTAAGATACCCACAAAATTTAGTTTTCTATTTGTTTATTGAAAAGTTGATTTTTGGAATTTAAAAAATTCGGTAGTTGTCCTTATATGTCAGGTCTCTACAGATTGAACGAAATAAATTCGGAACATACGAAATATTATGTATTTAGGCTCAATTCTGCTGTAGGTGGTTGACCAACAAAAGGTTGTCAAATAATTATATTATAAAAATCCAATACTTCAGCGGGCTGCTGAATTCTGAAATCATAAAAATTGAAAGCTGCACATAAATCTACGATTTTATTATGCTGTCAAACCACTTATAGTCCAGAAAATGAAGCATTTCACCTCGCAATTTTTTCGTCCTGCGTGGATTGACTTGAAATTTTAACAGAAGGTAGATAATAGCCAAGGATCAAAATCTATATCGAACCAAAGTTCGCCAAAGCCTTAGGGATGGTTGCCGCCCCATCTCGGGGGTGAAATTTTTTTTTTACATTTTAACTACAGTTTTCGATTAAAAAAGTGATTCTAAACAAAAAATGTTCTATACATTTTTTTTGTTAAACTGACATTTTTCCAGTTATTCGTGATTGAAAGTAACAACTTTTAGACGAAAAAATCGACGTTTTTAATCGATTTTTCGCGAATAACTCGAAAATGGTGCATTTTATCAAAAAAATTGTATAGAACAAATTTGTAGTTTTTAAAAAGACAAATACAATTCATTTTTTAAAATGTTTTTTGCGATATAACAGGAACCGAAATACGGCCTATCAATTTTCAGCGGTTTTCTTCAAATGCCAAATTTGAAAGATTCAAAGTCAAATATCGGAAAAATTATACATTTTTGAAAGAAAAGTCACAGAACGTTTTTTTAAAAAGCATAAATAGACCTATCATAAAAAAAGACTCTAGCTCAAAAATTGAGTGAGTTATGATAAAAATAAGGTCAATACCTCATTTTTTTACGAAAAAATCAATGAAAACAACCCCCTAACCACGCCCATAATTAAAATCGATCTTCATCCTTTTGCAATTCTCTTTGTACATGTATTGTTAATACGTCCAAAAAGTTTGACCCATTTAAAATGCTTAGATTTAGAAAAAGTACAGTATAAAGTGAGAAACGATTTACAATTTCATATTTTTTACCCTTCTTTTTTTAAAATATCCCCGAAAATACTGAATCTATGAAAAAAATAAAAATGAACTTAATTGTAGCTTTTTTAATGACTAAAATTTTCCTTTATTTAGATTTGTTGTACAATGAATATTTGGTGAGATATAGCCGTTTTAAAACATCGATTTACGATCAAGCACCTTTTTTTCGAGCCCTTTAAACTCACCCCATTTAAAAACCAAGGGTTCCAAAAAGATTTAATTCACAGATCCTTGGAGCTCTTAAAAACCTCTACAAAACCGTTTTTGAAGAAATACTCTATCGTTAAAAATTAAGGAAATACGTTAAAAAAAGCAATTAATTTTTTTCCGGAAAATTCCATTAGTATAGTACAGTACATATCGGAGCATAATAATCTACAAAACGGGTATATTAGGTAGTGGGGAGTTATACATTCGAAATTTTAAGCGTTCTTATTTTGAAATCCCATACATCAGAATAAAACATCTACTCATATGTCTATGGCTTGGCAATGAAAATATCAGAGCAACAGATTGGGGAAGGTATTCCAAAGATGGTTTGTTATTACCCGTACGCATGAACAAACAACCTGCACCCGATGAACTTTTGTTGTTGTTGTTATAAATGTAAATATTTTCAACTATTCATGTAAATGTATAAGAATATATATTGCCTTTTTATGTTGATAAATTTTTTTGTATTTAATTCTACTTTTTTCAATTTATATCTATTAAATTAGTTTATAAAAACTCATATATAGCACTCATAACAATTGATTTTTAAGGGTTGAAAATGTATGAAATTGTATTTTAAAGTATAAAAAAATCACTATTTAACTAATCCAAACCAAATTTTACTCATCTTAAGATTTATAATGTTATTTTACAATTTTTGAAACTTAGGGGTAGTTTTCATCCCTAAGGACAATCAGGGTTCATCAGCATGACATAAACTATAAAGCAGAGGGAGAGTTGAGCTTAATTCCAAATTTTTATCCAAATCGTTCCAAGGCGAAATCGTTTTCTTCGCATTACTACTTTTTTTTACATTAATCTCTAACAAGGCTCCCTTTTTAAGGGTTGAAATATGATGAAACTTTATTCAAAAGCACGAAAATATCATTATTTAATTAATTCAAACCAAATTTTACCCATATTCAGGATTAATATGTTATTTTATAATTTTTTACAACTAGGGGTAGTTTTTACCTCTAAGAACAATCAGGGTTCGTCGACATGACATAAACTATAAAGCAGTGGGTGAATTGAGCTTACATCCAAATTTTTATCCAAATGGATCCAAAGCGAAATCATTTTTTAGAATTAGTAATTTTTTACATTAATCTCTAACAAGGGTTGCTTTTTAAGGGTTGAAATATGATGGAACTTTATTCAAAAGTATAAAATAATCATTATTTAACTAATTCAAACCAAATCTTAGCCATATTCAGGTTTAATATGTTATTTTATAATTTTTGACAATTAGGGGTAGTTTTCACCCCTAAAACCCTTCAGCGCACTTCGGTTTGATATAGATTTTGATCCTTGGGCTATCACCTACCTTCTGTTAAAATTTCAACTCAATGCATGTAGGACGAAAAAATTGCAAAGTTTTAACTTTTTTCGAGCTTCATTTCCTGAACTATTATCGCTTCCTTTACGCAAACAACATTATAACATTGTTGCGAGACAGATAGTTGAACGATATTTTATACAATATCTATACCCAAGTATGGATTTAATTTTGTCCAAGTTTTATATTGGTCCACTATTTCAAATGTAGTTCAAACGGACATATATTAAATTGTATGATCCGTTTTAAATTCGTTCAATCTGTATATTTGCAAGAAGTGTAATAAGAAATGTTCAACGATACTCCCCCTCCTGACCAAAAAGGCTACCTACCTACTAAGAAATTATTTATAGGGTTTGTCCTTAATAACTTTGCGAGGAATAAATATTTTATACTTAATTCTGTTTTGTGTACTTTTTTTCTAAAAAGTTGTTCTAGAACCAGTTTTACCGAGAAAGTTACTTTTTTAAAATCAGTATTTATTTATTTATTACCTAACAGTAAAACTTTAAACTCCGGTAATAAACCATTCAACCAATCACCATTTAGTGATACAGGCTGAATATGGTTTAAATATTTATAATGACGATGTTATAATTGTGCTGTTTTTTTTCACAGATTTAGGAATTTTAAATTTACCATCATTTCACTCTTCCATTGCTTCATGTAATCGATCACAGTTTGATCCTTCCTTCTCTGCACTGTACTTCCGAACCACGGATGTTTGGACATTTCTAAGGCTGTTATTCGTTCCACGGGGTCTTTCTTCAAGGCTGATTTTAATAAATCAATACAGTCACTTCCTGCGGTCTTTGTTGGGTATTCAGGTTCTGTTTCACATATTTTAATCATTAAATCTTCTTTATTTGTGGCATGAAATGGATATCTACCAAAAATCAACGTGTATATTATTACACCTATCGACCACTCGTCACACAGCTCACTATAAGTATGATCCAATAAAATTTCTGGAGCTGAAATAGAAAGTAAAAGTTATTGATAATAATAATTACATAACAGTTAAAAACATTACAAAAGCCTATATTAACGAAATTTAAATCTTTAAGAAAAGCGCGACAGAAGTAGAAATATTGCAAAATCTAGCGAAGATGAAGGACGTATGGGAAACCAATTTTAGAAAAATCACATAAACTTTAATAAATAAAAATAAGAAAAGCTACAATAGAGATCCTGAAAACCTAAAATATATTGTAGCGAGATTAAATAAAACGAGCAGTTTGGATTTTATATAAATATATTTATTTATAACTTTACAGTTCGGTACTCTCTTATCAACTAAACTTACTCCTAATATCGTTACATATATATACCAAAGTTACTATGTTCTAGAAAGTTCCCACCTCTAATTCGCGTACGTGACCGATTGTTATCTTGCGTTCGAGAGATCTGGGGATGGTTCTCGAAGCCATTTCGAGATGCAACCGTTACATGGGCCATGGCGAAAGCATGTTCATAACAATATTGTAATGTTTTTATTTATGTATGTAATATTAGTCTATTAACACGACCACTAAAACCAATATTGTTTTATCTTTCTCATGACTATTTTGCTCCTCTGTCAGTAGGACTTTATTTTAATGAAATGTTCGTTTTTTATTTCTTGCGATCAATTGTTAGTGGAGCTAGGAGTTGAAATAGTGAGGGGTATAAGGTTCTTAGTGGATTTTACCTTATCTCTGAGAGTTTGACAATCTTAATCTAGTTTGCCCATTTTGAGTAGGATTTTTTCTAAGAGTAATATTAAACTGAATATAATATAATAGTAAATTAAACTAAATAATGGCCTTCGACTGTGATCGGTGCTAGCTCATCTGCTCGTCAGGCACTACATAGTATACACGCCCAAAATACCATCAAAGAAGTTCGGATATGCAGATGACTGGGCGTTGCTTTTGCTAAATTCCATAAAGAATTAGAGATTACTGGGCTAATTCTAACAAATAATCTGGCTACCCTCAGGAAAAATTTTCGCGACAGGAAAATGTAGCCCAAATTAGTACACAACTTAAACTACAATACTATACATACTTACACATGTAAAGAATGGTTCCAACTCTGTCTGTCATCATGCCTTTTATGCCTGCACCTACTTTTATTACACTTAATCCGAAATCACTCAATTTGATAAAATATTCATCATTTGGATCCTCGGGATTTGTGGCAAATAGTATATTCTCCATTTTTATATCTCTGTGTACAATATCTAAAACAAATAATAATATTGAATGAGTTATTTGAAATTGAACCAACAATGTTCGCCACCGCTACATATTGAAACATGTAACAGATATAGTGATGTGAAAAAAATTCGTAACTACCTCGATCAACATTAATTTACAAGACGTCCGATCTTTATGTATGTTATGATCTCGGGTTCATTGTATGCTGTGTATAGTTCAAAGTTATATCTTCTGCGCCATATGTCATTTTCCTTTACCCCCTTATATATGTGTCTAATGATTTTTCGTTCAAATGTACCTAATAGGTTCTCATCGCTTTTCGACAGTGTCTATGTCTCTGATCCATACACAAGGACCGATTTTATCAGGGTCTTGTATATTTTGCATTTGGTTTTTCTTGTGTGATGTTAGATCTTAGATGTTTAATCAGCCCATTATATGTTTTATTAGCGATATGTATTTGTCTCTTAACTTCTTCACTAACATTGTTATCTGTGGTAACTAGTGAACCTAGATATGTAAAACTTTTCACGCTTCCGATGTTATAGTCTCCTATTGTCAGATTCTGTAGGTTTCTTTGGCCTGTCGATTTACTGGCCTTCATGTATTTGGTCTTTATTTCGTTAATGTTTAGGCCACTTTTGTGCCGCTCTTTCTATCGCATCTCTCGTTCGCTTCTAGCTATGATATCAACATCATCTGCAAATGCCAATATTTGTAAACTTTCTGTTTTTATTGTTCCTCTGGTGTTGACTTTTGATCCCTACTTATTTTCTCTAATGTGATGTTGAACAGAATACAGGATAGGGCATCTCCCTCTCGTAGGCCCGTTCTCACATAGATTGTATCTGTTAGTTAGTTTTGAATTCGAATTTTGCTTTGTACTTTAAGTGTTTCTTTTACTATATCAATGAGTTGAGTTGGAATATTAAACTCTTTTATTTAAAGCAACACCTTATATTGCGCATCACTACTCCTTTGAACCCCACATTATGCGTTTAATATGACAAAATAGTGGATTATTTTTTATTTTTATAGCAGAATATTGAGAGTCCGTTGGAATTGGATTTTAGAAAATGATTATAAAATTTAACAATGCAACATTAAAAACTTACCGTGTTTGTGCAAATAAATAACGGCATCAATAATCTGTTTAGATAGTTTTTTGGTAATTTTCTCTGCAAATTGAGAAGAATTCTTAAATTTATTAAACAAAGTTTCACCACAAAGTTCAAACACAAGATAGATCTTTTTAGTTGTTTCATAGACTCTATCCAAAAATATTATATTAGGGTGGGAAACGAATTTAAGAATTTTTATTTCTTCATGGATTTCTTGTAAGTTTGCAGATACCTTTAAAATGAAAGATAAATATAAGAAATATAAAATATGTGCAAATATATTGTTTATTTTGTTGTTTTTTATATATTGCAATTTTAAAATAAATATAAGATAAATTCATCCAAATGCATCTCTTACATCCAAACCACGTGAAGTATCTATAGTTGCGTAAGATTTTTGATTAACTAACAGAGAAATGAATAAAGTAATTTAAATCAGTTACCACAAGGACACCAGTTTAATATTGGCCATCAAACTGTTGAAAATCAGTAGCAATCCGTTCAACAATTTCAAAATAAGATAAATTCGATAGCAATGATATCTTGAGCTCTTACATACCAATATACAAGCTGTAATATATGGAAAACATACGTAATACTATAATAGAAGAGTGCTTGGTCCTCTAGGTAGGAGAAGTTGGGCAATAGGCCAACAACTTTTTTTCCTCTTTCTGTAAAAATAAGCTGAACTAAAGTTACGATGACGACTCTGCAAAACGAATGGAACTGACATCTTTATTAAATATAAGGAACAAAACAAATACACATTAGATGCCTTGTCACTACAGGAAATGCGATGGACGGGATGGATGGTATTATAGTTGCAATGAAAGTCAACATATAGATGAAGTGGAGTTCATTGTAAACCACAGAACTAAATACCTTGTTATTGATTTTAAAGCCTACATCCAAAAAATGTGCTACTTGCATTTAAAAGAGACATTTTTTACTGATGACAAACCAGAAGACAAAAAAGATCAGGTCTTTGAACACATAAAAGAAGTATACTGAAGCTCTCCTAGAAATTTCATTAGAATATTGCTAGGTGATATTTTTCTTCTTCTTTCTTCTTGTATGTAGGCTTTACAGCCCGTTTCTTCTTTAATATTAGCCTACTAAATTGTTTAAATGATCGCATCATCTTTTTCTTGATCTGCCAATACTTCTTTGTCCATTTGGTGACTTATCTCGTGCTATTCGTACTTAGCGGTAGCACTAAGCACAAAAATATACACAAGGACCTCCTCTGACAAAAGAAAGCAAGTCAGATTGATCAAATATTAATATGAGAAAAAAAATCCACCAAAAATGGAACGTACAAAAGTTGAGAGATACAACAGTTGCTGAACGGTACGATTTATTTAACATGTATTAAGAAGAGAGGTGGTTGAAAGCTCGTAATGGAACTCGGAGGCAGCATGAGGTCCCGACCCTCACACAGTAATAAAATTCTGGAAAATGGCAACAATTTCCCGACGAATAAGTCAGGGATTCTAGGAATAGGACTCAGCTCTGCCAGCATATCGTACTGTAGCGTTCTCGAAGAGTCGAAGAGATATGTCGAGTAACTATGCAGCAGAGTAGATAGGGTAAAAGGCGAATTTTCGGCGCCTAAAACCTTAAACAGGTCGCCTAGGGTAACAAATTCTGGTCCTTCAAGTCTGAGGGTTGGACCGAGGTGCTAGTAACTCGTCATTCGGAAAACGCTTTAAATATGCTACATAATTCGTTAATTCGACTCGGAATATGGATAGGTTAAACGGCGACAAAAATGGAAACGAAAACGGACATTGAAACGGACGCAAACAAAATAAAGTGTTATTTGAACTAAAAAAAGGGAAATCGGTATCTGTGTACTGACAAACACGAAGAAAAAATGCAAAAGTAATAGAGTCAAACGGAGTGTAGCCGTACTCATTCACAATAAACTAGTGAACTAGGTAAGAAATCTCGCAAGAAAATTATCATGGTAAAGCTGACGAAAAATAGCAATAATATAGTTATCATAGGAGTTAAGGGGTTATGCCTCCAACGAAGATGCTGCGATAGGAAATACAGAAGAATTTTACGATAATCTTCTGAACGTATTAAGGAATTAAGAAAAACCAGGAAGTATTCATCCTGTGAGATTTAAATGCCCGAGTGTGAAGTGTGGATCGGATCACCACTTAACTTAATCATGGTAACGGTGTTAGTTGAATGCAAACTCAGATTGGCTACAAAATATTACAACACTACAAAATATTAGAAAAGAAAACAAGGCAGTGGAGGAAATATACTGTCAAATAGATAGAATGGATATAATCCAAATAACTTTTATAGTACTTCATGTAATGCGAATGAAAGACGAACGATTGCTAAAACAGGCCTTAAACTACTTTCCATGGAATAGAAGAAAGAGAGGAGGACTAGCATTAGAATGTAGAGAAGGAATCAGAGGAATAATGAGAGATAGAGCCATAAGAGAAGAGGAATGGAACAACCGGAAAAACTGGAGATCGAAATGCAGGATGCGACAGTGGCTGTAGGGATATATACTAAAATGGATCTTTTAAAACCTTTACCACAATTGACGTTAACTGTAATTACTATAAAAGTTGAATTGTGTAACTAAAACTTACGTTATACTTGTTAATAATTTTTATAGCGTATTGTTTAGATGTCGATTTGTCGATTGCTTTAACCACTACTCCAAAGGAACCATGACCTATCTGATCTTTAAATTCGAAAATTTGGAACAGCTTCTTTAAATCCTCTAACTTGATATGTTTAACATACCTTTCTTTTAAACCGTTTTTATTGTGTCTGGAGCTAAACCTACTGACAATAAGATTTGAATGGTACCTCAATATCATCATTAAATTAGTCACCTCTAAAAATATATTATATTATTGAACACATTAGCATAAAAGTTATATAAATCCTGAGTTTTTTGTATTTTTATCATTTATGTAAATAGAGACCTCTGTGTATATGTTTTAAGGCTTAAGTATTCTTTATTGTTTTGTTGGTTTTGTTATAACTGTGAGACTGTGTCGTGGTGAAATGTCACATATCATTAATCTTCTCTCGGCACGCTGGTTTCTGCTAGGAGTGAAAATATGTTCCCAAGATTCTCATGAGACAAGGATGGACCAGAAACAAATAAAGCAGAATTAGTAATACGGAAATTGAAACCGAAACCCGTTACAGGTCATAATTACGAATAAGAAGAGGAAATATTGCGGAAAACTAGTCGTCAAAGCTGCGATGAAGCTTAACAACCACTGAAAAATACTCAGCTAGCAAAAATGAACAACACAGTGAGCACAAAATAAGTTAATGTTAAACAAGCCTCGTCCCAAAAGAGGAGCTCCAACAACCCCTAAAACCTATTCGAAAGTCACTTACATTTAAGATATTTACAAACGGTCCGCCAAGGAGACTCGCTCAGCCCATTGTTATTCAATATGGTGATGAATCAAATTGGGAACGTAAAATTCTTCGAATGATATATTATGGCCCTTGCAGAGGCAGCGTGACAAACGAATGGAGGGGCAGATACAATAACGAGCTAGAGTCTCTATTCGAAAAAGAAAATCTATCATATAAAGATATATAAAGGTCAATAGACTCAGATGGGCAGGACATGTGATACGCAGTAACGACAATCGCCTTATAAACAATGTCTTCTGGGAAAAGCCAGATGGAAGAAGGTCTGTAGGGCGACCTAGAAAAAGGTGGAAAGATGAAGTCAGAAAAGATCTAGAGAAGATGGGAGTGCGACAATGGGAATTACTGGCACAGGACCGACAAACATGGAAGGCAATAGTAAACGCGGCAAAGACTCACGTAGAGTTGTAGCGCCATTGATATGATGATGATGATGAATCAAATAATTCACGAAGTAAGAAAACGACACGGATACCACATGGGAGTGCATAAAATCACGATACTATGCTTGTGCCAATGATGCAGTACTAATTGCTGATAAGGAATATGACCTACAAAGGTAGCTCCACACCTTCAATATCACAGCAAACAAACTTAATATGAGAATATCAGTAGAAAAAACTAAATGTATAGTAATCAGTAAATAGCCGCGTAAAACATGTACACCGAGTGGGACCAGATAGGTTAGCGAACATCTGTAAAAACAACAAGCCGTGTAGCAGAAGACCTGTTGGAAGGCCGCCAAAAAGGTGGAAAGATAATTTACACGACTGAAACAGAATAAGAGGCAGACGAACAGGAGTAATCCTAGTCGCACGAAGAAGAAGAAGACAAACGGTCCTTTAGTTGGCAGTCTGGAAAGGTAAGCGACGCAACTGACACTTTTATCTACGATATAAGTAACCTGAGTAAGTAACACAAAGTTTACATCTCAGAATCTGAAAAAAACTTGAGAAAACTATCACTTCCTTTATGCACACACGGATTTCTTCGTTGACTCTCAATACAGATATGCTCTCAACAGGAAAATGCTTTTATAATATCGTACGCAAGTAGTTTTGTTAAATTCTCATCATTCCTGCAGAATTGTTATTGAAACAGTATATTTCTTTTTTTATGCTGCCTAGGCAATCCAAATTGGGGTTCTTCCATTATCATAAGTTCATTAAATTCACTTACTATGAACGAAATATTTCAATTAGCTACAAGTAAATTCATAATAAAATACTTACGAATCGAACATTTATAAGAAGATAATACTGATATAATTATTGTAACAGTGAACTCTTGTAACATTTAACTGACGTTGAAATTTGCTTGCTTTGAAAAATGAAGATGAACATATTTGAGAATATTATTACATTGTAGAAAATGTATTTGTAAGTTTGGTGATAAATAACAGTATATATTATTTCAGTCAAATATTTAGTTCTAACATATTTGCTTTATACATTATTTTGAATTTTGGTATGACATTCGCGAAACCATGCAACCAGTCTTGCATGGTTATTTGAATTTATAGAAAATTATTTTTTTAATGGTTAGTTAAAATCAGAGATATGTAAGAGAGGTTAAAATCATAGAAGGTAAGAATGTAAATTAAGAGAAAGTAAAAATAAATATATATTTGTATTTTAAATTCGTATGGAAAAATGTATGACAGCAAGTCTGACAGCATTTTTCAAAAACATTCAATGTCAACGTCATTAAGAAAAGCAAAAAGTAGATTACTACTTTACCGGTATTCTTCTAAACTGTGGATATTCCGATTTTGAGGTTTTGACTATTTATATTTAAAAATAATGCATTTTTTAACTGATGCAATAATTTTGTACACTTTTTAATCATTTTATAGTTGAATTTTATTATTATGGATCAGAAACCAGGGATAGATCTGGTGATATCGGCAGTTTCAGCGTTGTACAATAACCCTAACAGCAGTGAGAAGGAAAGGGCTTCTAAATGGCTTTTGGAACTCCAAAAATCCGTAAGTACTAAGAAGTTTATAAACAGCATCCGGGCATTAATGTTTCGTTTTAGGTCCACGCCTGGACTGTAGCAGACGAATTATTACATTTGAAAACAGACTTAGAATCATGTTATTTTGCTGCTCAAACTATGAGGACAAAAATTCACCAGTCCTTCCACGAACTTCCTCAAGAAGTACACACGTCGTTAAGAGATTCATTACTTGAACATATTGGCCAAATTAACGAAGCAACCAACACTGTTATAGTAACACAATTATGTGTTGCTCTGGCAGATTTAGCTCTACAAATGCCATCTTGGCAGAATCCTACATTAGACCTAATCAACAGATTCTCCCAAACTAATATATGGCCATTGCTAGAAATTTTAACTGTGTTACCTGAAGAACTGGAAAGTAGATCTGTCAGGTAATAACTAAACTGTGATAAATATTTATTAGCTAAAATGTAGGTAAAGAGTTACTTAGTTGTTTAATCACAATTTGAGCTAAATATTATTTAATAAATTATAGCGTTACAGAATTATTGCTAAGAAGTCTTGGTTTTAAGCATCAAATGTATTTTAAGTTATCTTATTTTAAGAAACAACAAAATCCCCTGCAAATAGAGGAAATGTATAAATTTAGAGTATGGCTAAGGCAGGTTTTGAAGCAAATTAAGATATTGAAAATCTGTTTTTGACAACTTTCACATATGGTGGAAATAATATATTTAATGTAATGATATTACCAATATTGACATACAGAATTGAAATAATTTTAACACTATTATATTGTTTTATAACAATTTTTATTGCTTCAAGGTACAAATTTTGTAAAAATTGCACTGTTTCCTTATTTTACTAGATCTGAATCTGATTGGGAGCTTATCATTCCAGATGGATTTTAACACACACCACAAAATTGGTTGTTCTAGAGCATGTGACATTAGCAACTACAGTTAGTCTGTAGGCTTTTACTGTACTGCCTCGTTAGCTCAGGCAGTTCCAATTAAACATTTTCGTTATCTGTTATAGGTGGTGAAAGTAATGTGTTTCCAGATCTGCATAAACCTTCAACCAAGAAGTAGAAATTTACTGTTTTTAAATGTCATAATATTTTTAGATTAAAAGATTATATCAATGTCTTGGTTGACACAATGAGTTATATCAACATCTTCCAGAAAGTGAAAAAGATCTTTTCTGGTTTCATGGTTGTGTTTAATCTAGTCTTTGTTCTGTGAGCATCATTAAATATAAACTTGTTGAAACTTGGTTGGCTATTATCTATGTTTTGTTAATATAAAAGGGTCCTTTCTTGCATTCTCTGTACTGTTTGATATAGAATATGGTACAAGACAGTGTTTGTGGACAGTTTTTGGTTTCCCTTTGGCAGGTTCCAAATCTGGTGACCCATCATTTATTCCTTTTTAAGTTTTCTATAGACCTTCCCATTGATTTTGAAGTTTAGGAGAACTGCCTTGATATTGTTGTAGATAAGATCTTATTCAAGTCTTATTTAGCCAGACAAGATCACTTACTTTAAAGCTTCTTCCATTCATGAATTGAAAAGCCTGTCATATCTTCATCTTTCATCATATCACTGGCTATTTTATAGTTTGTCAGGTAAGATTGTTGATCTTGTTCATCTTTAATTTCTTTTGGTAAGTGTATCATTCAGGTGCAACATCATTTTCAGAAGGTTTGCAAACTCAAGATCATAAGCAGACTTCACAAACAACATTAAGCAAGCTGGGATCTGGCCAATAATTTCATTGTGAGCCGATTGGTAGGCCATAAGAAACAAATGAATTTACTAGTCCCAGTCTCTTCAGATACAACTTTAAACAGGTGTTGATTTTGTTGTTCTAGTCTTGGAAATACCAAAATGACTAAAAAACTGTAACCAGTATATCTAATTGCATAGAAGTATTCTGGTTTCAGATTGTGTAGGTCTCAGTTCATTTTGCTTTGATTTGTGCTTTGTTCTTTTAGCCTCTGATCATTTGTTTAATGGTGATTTATCGCCACTAATTTTTAACTACATGGTCTCTTCAAAAGTGCATCAGTATTTAAATAGATTTTCTCTGCTTTGTGCTGGATAAAATCATATTTTTCTAATAAATATTTCATTGATTTTTGCAATTGATATGAAGGTGACCTACTTTGCCATGATTACAAAATCTGGGCTCACATTTGTGGGCCTCGTTTCTATGTATGATACACATTTACATAGCTTCTTCCAATCAATTGAATAAGATCTGATAACATTTTTCTTGACTGTTAAGTATTGATCATAAAATGTCAGCAGCATCATCTTTTAAAGCTACAGTCAAGGAAGCAGGTTGGTCATCGAAATAGCTCAAATTATTTCAGATATTTGAATCAAGAATACTTTCCATCAATCACAAGTTTGAATAATATATGATACATCATCTCTTTTTTTGGGCCATTCTTCTTTCAGGACCAGGATTTATGGCATCTCTGTTGGTGATATATCAATAATATATCAAAAATAATACAACTTACAGTTCACAGGCTCTAAATATGCCAGTGGGGAATGAGATATATGCGCAATATTATATTAAAGAAACTATTCAAAATAATAAAATGCTAAATTTTGCATTTAAATTTTTTATTGGGTTGCTGTTTTTATTTCCACACCTTAGAAACTTTTAGCTGTATGTAGGTTTATTTGTGAACTTTAACTTTTGATATTAATTGATTGATTAAAATGTACGATTTGCTGGTGTGTGTATGTAAAAAAATCATATTTATTTATTTAACAATTAATTGATGCGCCAAAATTGTAACTAAAGTCAAAACCGGGTGATTTATTGTTTTTCATCTCTGAGAGAGCTCTTTTTTAAAACATCTTCCATATTTATTTTAGTTTCTCCCTTTTTATTTACCAGATTCCCAATATTTTTTTTATCCTTCAGTCATTTTTTGTCACAGAACCTTTAAACTTCTATTTTTATCAATGGTTTGAGTTATGTGTTTAGTTTTGTAATTCCTGACAACTTTTTGAATGGCTTTTGAGATATCTTTGTGTTAATTGTCTAAGTGTTCCTTATTTTTTCTACGAGCATTTTCAATCACACTATTTATTCACATGTTTGTGACCTCTATGCCTAATTCATTTTCTTTTAGATATTCTACTTCTTTAAGTTCTGAAGTTAATTCTGATAAGCCACTCTATCTTCTATCAATTTCCATTTATGAGAATACCTTTCTGTTATTGCTCTCCTCTTTCTTCTAATGCTGATCAATATTTTTGCTCTAACAACCTATGGTCACTCCCAACAGTGATTTTAGTAATCACTGTAACATCTTGGGCAATATGTTTTCTGTTTGTGATTATGAAATCAATTTCATTTTACGTTATGCCTTCTAGACTAGCCCATATCCACTTAGGTTGCTGGTTCTTTTTGAAAAATGTGTTCATGACATAGAGCAGATGATGTAACAAAAAATTAGGACATATTGTTTGCTCACTGTATCCAAATGAGGCCATTAAGATTAGATGGTGGGTTTTTTTCCACTAGCACGATGTATGTCTTCATAAAAGTTTTTGATTGCTTTATCACTGTGGGTTGTTGTGGGTGCCTATACTTAAATAATTTTAATACTGTTCAGTTTTAATATGAGGTACACAACTCTTGAGCTTATGCTCTCTATTTTTATAATTTTATCTCTAGTGTTTCTTGTCCATGATAAAGCCTATGCCTCCAACTGCCTTATCATTTTCTCCAATGGAATGCATCAAATGACCTGATTTTAAAACTAATTGGTTTTCTCTTTTTCGTTGTATTTAGGAAGTCTCAATACATCCCATTTTATGCAGTTACATACTTAATGCAATTCAATGACTTGTGTTGCAAGTGTGCTTATGTTATAAGTGGAAATATGCAATGTTCATTGTGCATGGTAGCCTTGTCTGTTCCGGTGATTCTTTGTGCCCTCTGCCCTTGATTTGACGTGATGGCTACCGTCACCAGGAACCGTTGGGTCACCAGTATTTTTTGTAGTTTGTGTCATGTCATTTGTGGGGCAGATGAACTATTTCACTACCACGCTAGCCTGTGTGGGTTGGTAGTGAGATGTTGTAAGGTTTGGAAAATGAGGGGAAATATAGGTTGGGGATCTGGCCTCTCCTTAAGGCTTGGACATATGAGAAAGTCAGTAGCTAGCGTATGACAGAGACGCCACTCCCTGTATCAGCCTGTCCTGTACCGGGATCGTTGAGGAGTGCTAGTTGCTACCGTATATAATTTATTACACACAATAAAATTTATTTTACTCACATTTTAAATAATATAATAGTCATTCAGTTTACTATACTATGCTAAATATTAATTACTAATAAAGATTACTAAATAAACTTAAAAGTACATAACTTAAATACTTAATAAACTTAAATATAATTTAATCAGTTTTATTTATTAATATTTCTTGTAATATTTGCGTTTGTACATTCTTGCAAAGTGAATAATACTTTTAGTTTCCACTGATATTAAATAATACCAGATCATTTAATTTTTAACCATCAACAAAAATGTAATATAATAATATGACAAGTATGAATAATTCATAATATGGTAATACGATCTTCACAGATATCATGGCTGCAGTATGTATTTCTTTATGGATAACAGTTTTTAGATAACATTAATCATTTTTCAATGATATGTGTGGATGGAACCTTATGTTTCTAATAATATGTTCTTGTAAAGGCATAGCTTTGATTATTTGGTAAACCTATATTATAGGTCACCATTAAAACATGTTTGTTAATAAATGATATTATTCCGTATTATTGCAATAAAATAATAAAACAAAAACTTGTGGAGCAGCACTAATGAACACAATAGAGCAGTAAAATGTTATACATAAAGACGTTGTAATAGATATCTTCGCTTACTTGGTCAACTAGAGATATAGTTATCAGATTTAAATGGCAAACCTTTTTTTTTTTGACTATAAACGAATAATCAATTCTATTCTTGTACGATTTTTCAAAAATATATTTTACAGGCTAGGTGAAAACAGAAGAATAGATGTGTTAGAAGAGATGAAAGTTTGTGCTCCAACAGTGAATGAATTTTTAAAACATTGTTCTAAAGTCTACGAAACCAATTGGCAAGATCATGTTCAGTTCAATGTAAAAATATTACGTTGCTTTACATCCTGGATCTCAGTAGGAGCTATTAGTCTGAATGATCTTTCTGATAGTATTGTTATTAATAGAGCATTCGAGATACTCAACTTCAAGCCTCAAAATGATAAACAGACCATATCAGGTACTAATTTTTTAAATATTGAAAGTATTTTGTGTTTATGTACAGTAATGTGATGTTGATCTACACTGTCCTACAAAAACCTAGTGTAAATATAAATGTATATTGCCCCAACAATATGTACAATTCAAAAATATATATTTTAGCCTTCTTTCTTCTGCCAATGTTCTGCTTCTGCACCGCTTACTTTGTGGGACCACTTCCTCTTTGGTTACCTGATTTTTGTAGTTTCTGGACCTCTGGATGTTTTTCTGTAGGTACTATTTATAGCACTATACCTACTTGCCTGTTTCACTGTCTTCTACAACCACCTGGCTAGACCCTGATTAGATGTTCCATCAGTCTGTCTTTTCTCTGTACATCCCCTGTATGAGATTTATGTTAAGGATGTCTCTAGTGGATGTTTTAAGTAGTCTTATTGTGGTTTGGTAGAGGAAGTATATTGTCCTGTTCCCAGCTACTTCAGCCAATCGGCTTTTTGTACATCTTCCATTCTTTCATAATATACATTCTAGGTTTTTGGCAAATTTCAGTGCTGTCAGTCTCAGTGACCATAGGTAAGCAATCTCCAGTAATACATTCACTTTTTAAATGTATATTTGTTTTAAGTAAATATCTTTTTTAGCTGCCTTTCATGAGGCTGCCACTGACTGCATTTGTACTCTTTTATTAAGTCTCGAAAACAACAATAACCAACTTGGTTTGGAAAATTACCTCTTCAATAATATTATCAATCTAGACGTACCTTATCACCTTTCTGTTGCAAACGAAGATCAAGGAAAGTCCATGGATTATTGCAGACTGTTTACAGAACTGGCAGAATCATTTTTAGAAAAAATAATAGCAAATAGTAATACGAAACAGATGCACTATGCTATTAAAATTTTAGATCTAGTTTTAATGTGTGTTGGACACCACGACTATGAGGTAAGTATACTTAATATTATGTATAATAAAATGTTATTTAAATATAATAAAACTATTTTAGGTAACAGTTTCACTTAAAGAATAGTTAATTTTTATTAATTTGTTATTGTACAGAACTTATTTTATGAAATTACTTACTTATACTGATCGGTAGTAGCCTAGTCACCATGTTGATCGGCGTGGTATTTATTGTTTGATATTGGCAATGTAAACTTCCAACTTTATTAGGCATACATCTATTGTTTTTCTGTCAATTGTATCAAAAACTGCTCTTAACTCTATGGAAGTTAGATATAGTTCTTTATCCCGTTTCTAGTTTCATTTTCAACATGTTTTTATTTAATTATGTGTATATTGTCATACCTTTATTTACATTTCTTAAAACCAGCACGTTCTCGTTCTATTTTATTTTCTATCATCATATATCAAAAAGTATATGACATATATTTTTCATCATAAAAAAATTCAGTATTGAAACCGGCTAGTCAAATTTTAAACACGATAGAATATTCTGGAATGTTCCACCTCTATTCATTTGCATTAGCGCTTCGATTCTATCCTGATCGATACAACCGGAAGGTTCTCGAAGGCAGATCATCGGCGCCTCGAGATGAAACCGTTAAATGGGCTACGTTGAAATAATTAAGTTCGGTATACTGCTCCCCTCTTAGATCTGAGCGTCCCGATCAGCAACTCTATATGTAGGCTCAGGATGGCGGAATCTACAAGACTGTCCAGCTATGCAAGAACTCTTCAGAAAGAAATAAAAATCGACTATCTTTTAAGGGCACGATCTCTTCGGATTAATGCAACACAGAGTAATTCATACGCCGGTTTCTCGGAAGAGCACTTCAAGTATGCTTCTGACAATCTTCCAATCCAGATTATCTAGTGCATGGCCTATCTTGGGCAAGGCCAAATTTTTGATGTCATAATTGCACACGATTTTCTTCAAATTAGTTAGAGCACGCCATATATCCTTGTAGCTTGCCCTGTCTGTATACGACTTCCTGGTCATATACATGAAAGATCGAGGACCGTCTTCTAATCTCAGTTCTCTTCCAACTTTAGACTGCTGATTTTTTAACTCGTCCTAACGACTGAACTTCTTATAAAATACGGATGAGATTTCTTTAGTCGTCTCAAGATCTTGGGCAACACAGTGGGCCAGAGAGACGTTATGCGGAACACTAAAAAGATCCTGCTGAACTTCTGTGGTCACGCCAAATCTAGCACTCTTTCTCTCTGCGTAATTTGACATAAATTCATTAAAGCTTGGTTGCCGGTCATCTTTGATCTCCTGTTGAAGGGTTCGTGCTTCTTCTGTTTCATTTGAGCCAGCATAAGGTGCAATACAATTTATATGAACTATTGGTTTACCTTTTGGCAACTTCTTAATTCGGTATATAACGTCATTTATTCTCTTTTTAATTTCATACGGACCTTCTTATTGCCTTTGCAATTTAGGAGACAAGCTTCGACGACGTTGTGGATTATAAAGCCAAACAAGACCATCTACTTCATATACTGTCATTCATTTTCTTTTATCCCATTGACGAAGGTATCTACAGCAATTTCTTCCAAATGTTAATTCTTAGTTGCGCCTTGTAGACTTGTAGATGGGCATCACCGTAACGTTTGTCTAGTCGAGTGAACAAGGTCTGGTAACATTTTTTTTTTATCCTTAGGAATCAATTTTAGGATATCCGTATCATCACTTTGTAAAGCAGTAGTCAATTAAACAGCCTTTTCTTTTTCTCTCCAATGATTGGCTGTCGCAATAGCTTCAAATTGTCTAAGATATATGGACCAAGAAACTTTCCGTCAAATGGTGGCAATTTGAATCTCATAATATGTGTCGTTTCGTCTCTAGGTGGTTCCTTATTCACTACAGGATCTAATCTACATCTAATTATTTGTATTGTAATATAAGAATATTTTCTTGTACAATTACTTAATATTTATTATTATATTTACTGTTCATATTTTTAGGTAGCAGAAATCACTTTTAACCTTTGGTATGTTTTGAGTGAAGAATTATACCAAAAAAATAACAAAGAAAAGACAGAACTATTCCGACCCTATGTAGAACGATTAATAACAGCCCTGTGTAGGCACTGTCAAATGGAGCCAGATAGCGAAGGGTTGTTAGAAGATGGAGATGAATTTAAAGATTTTAGGTTGAAGGTAATTAATTTACCATATTTTATATTTGTGTGGTAGAGGGACATCAAATGAATCAAAAATTTCTCAGCTCCTATATTAGATACAAACATGAAATGTTAGAATCGAACATGATTTTTAAAAATTATTTTATCTTTGAGTAAAGCCGGATTTATAAACGGACATAAACATAATTTTACTCTTTAACCATAATCTTATTATATAAGCATAATGTTGAAAGTTAATAAATAAATGTACCCATTTAAAAGCATTCATAATACATAAAACATAAATTTAGTCCTTAAAACGTGACCTTCAAAGTTGGTAACTTTCAACATTTATGAATTAAGTATTAAACATTATGGAATTGTTGGAATATGCGCATGCGTAATCCAACGTAAAAAATTAAAGAACTGTTCCTTATCCCATTCCTTATCACGCTTTCTATTTATGGGTCTTACACTATACCTTCTTACTCTTCTTTGCTTGTTAAGAACTCTGGCAGATATAGTCGCTACAATTGTTAAATAAAGTGGGACTGCTGCCATGGCCAAAGCAACTTTTCTATTAATCTTCATATTTATTTAAAATTATTTCACTTTTCTATGAATCTAAAGACCAGAAAAAATTCTTCAAGATCTATAAAAATTTGGTTAGGTTTGTATTTTCTGAAGTAGTTTTTAAATATTATGGTTAGGTATTATGTCTAGTTATAAACCAATCTTAAATCTTGTGAATTATGATTGTGGTTAAAGTTATGTTTATGACTTATGATTATGTACTATGTCCGTTTGTAAACCTGGCTTTAAACAAAAGAAAAAAAATTAGTTCACTTGAACTAAAAAGAGAGCCTCAGTTAACGTCTCAAAAAAAGGTGTCCAATGGCAGACACTTATTATTAGGATTATCACATCTGAAACAAAAAAACTCCAACGGGATTACTTAAAGAAAGGGCCCTTATAAGACAATTAACCAGTTAATTGGAAAAAAAGTAAAAAAAATAATTTTGATGTGCAAAACTTGTTAAAAAAAATCGATTTTTTTCAATTGTTTCTCCAAATGTCCAGCATTTTGATTTTTAATGTAATCTTCGGTTAAAATTGGTTGATTGTCTTGCAAGGACGCTTTATTTAAGTAACCCTGTTGGAATTTTTTGTTTAAGATGTACCAATCCTGAGAATAAGTGTCGGCCATTGGAAACCTTTTTTTGAGATGTTAACTTAGGCGTCCTGTAGAAAACGAGCTGTTCATGGGAACTAAAACCAATTTTTTTTGTTTAACTTAAAGATAAATAATATTAAAAAAAAAAATCTGCTAGGTTAAAATGCCTGAGCCACCAAAATACATGGGTAAAAACCCTTTAAATTACTTATAGTTATCAAAGATTATACATCTTGTTGTTAAAAAACTGTGATATTCATTATTAAATTAGATATGACTTCAGGTAACATACATTGTAAAAAGTTTTGAGTTTCAGAGCCGGGGAGAAACCTCAACGCACGGAAACTAGCATTTTAACCTAGCAGATTTTAAACCTGATGATGGACTGTTTAGTCCGAAAACGTTTGTTTTTTTGATGTAGCCCTTTTAAGGGTTTTTAAATAAATATACCCACTTACAAAGATTAACCTCTTTTTTTGTGATACGTGGTATACAGCCAGCTACAGGAATTGTTTTCCTTGTGGATTTTATTAAAAAAATCATCTAATAAAGGAGCTGAGAAATATTTTTTGGAAAATGCGCATTTTTTCGCCTTCTAATCTGTACTAGTACCGTAAGTGCTTTAGTTTGTTTATTTAAATTTTGTTACTTTTGTAGGTAGCAGAATTAATACGAGATGTAGTTTTCATAGTGGGCAGTAGTGCCTGTTTCAAACAAATGTTCATTAATATACAAGGTCCAGGAGTTACGTGGGATTCCACCGAGGCAGCTCTGTTTGTAATGCAAGCTGTAGCAAAAAACGTAATACCGTAAGTAACTTTAATCGTAATGGAATCTTATTGTGGTGTGTTGGCAAAAATCTTGTCTTGATTGATATATAATTTATTTATATTAACAAACTAACCTAAACCTACAACCGAACACGAGTATTAACGTAAACAGACGTGAAGATAGTTAAGGGGACAGTCTCATGCGATTAAAAAAAAGACACATTTTAAAATTAAAACAGAAAAAAAAACTATAATATTTATTAACATAATTCCTTTTGGAGATGATTAAGTAAGTCTTGAAGTACATAAAAAAAATTTAATAGCGATTTTAACTTCATTGGTGTCCTGTAGATGGCGTGTAGTAAAAAGTGCGTTTTTGGTGGTAAGACACTTTGTGGGTCACCTGTAACAGTTATTCAAAAAATTCAAAATGGGTTGTATTCGTGAGACTCAAAAGTAGATGATAAACCTTTAAAATATGCAAATTATATTATTTCGAAGAGTTTATACGAATTTTTTCAAAAAAGTCGAAAAATCGCTATATTTTTCGGTGGATTTACCCATATATAATAAAAGGGGGGGGGGGGTGGTTTTTAAATATTTTAAAGGTTTATCATCTAGTATTTTGTATGTACATTCGAAAAATTTTTGGTTTTTTAAAATCGGTTAAGAAGGTTCGGAGAAAAGTGTCTGACCAGTTTGAAAATGTTACTTTTAAGAAAAAAGCATTTAAAGTTTTTTTTACATAATTTTCGTGAATAAAAGGCTGATAACTTTATACTCACGTTTAATCGGCCATTCCTGGTGAATATTGAGGACCCTCTTCATCCAACAGTTGTTGTAAATGGCTTTGTAAAGCTGTAAATTCCAATACAACGTCGCGATATTTTATAATTAATTCATTTGTTCATGTTCGACTGGAGTCTCAATTCACGCCGCGATGCTGCCAGTATAAGTGTAAAAACGGAACACACCTAGATCGCATGTCAATTCAACGAAAACATACTTATTTATAAATGTAGATATGAAAATATTTTATAACTAAAAAAATGGTTATGTTATGGCCAAAATAAAAAATAAAAAGGAATTTTAAAAATAAAATAATTATATTACACTCTTTTTAATTTGAAATTATAAACAATATTTGGAATAATAAATGTATTTAAGTATAAATTTTATAACTCAAATAATACCTAATGAACACAAACAAAATTGATGTTAATAAAACATTTATTATCTGCACAAAACCGGACTTTCAGGAAAAATCGGTAGACGGAGCAACACTGTCGGCGTGCCATATACGCTACTATCGGCTTACCATATACGCTACTATAAACCGCTAAGGAGAAGTAATCCAGTGGAACAAATAAATTTACACTGGTTAATTGCAACGCAGAGAATCTTAGTACTATATAGTAAAAAAAATCCTATGTTCTGGATTTAAAATTCCAAATCCAAATGTGTATAGCAAACGCCAAACGTTATACAGATATACATACTATATAAAAATTAATCACTAATACATACCCAACGTATATACAACATATATACAAAAGCAAGAACAGCTGGAGCCTCGCGCTCGCCACGCGGAGAGAACCCGGTTTTCATACGTGCGTAGATGACGTTAATAAAATAACTATAACTTATATTCTAGTGGGAATTTCTTTCTAAATTTTAGGAGGGAGTTTTTGAATGTATATGGAAGCGATTTATAAAAAAAAAATTGATTTTTTGAAAGTTTCGCATGAGACTGTCCTCTTAATCCAAAGTAGTTTAATAACTGTTTGTATGTGAAAAGAAAATTGTTTCTTTTACAATTTTCCTTACAATTTTCTCATTTTTTTGATTTCATTTTAATTTGATTGATGATGATTTGATATGTTAATATATATGTATATGATTCACCACTGCACTACCCAGTATGTCATTTGAATTGTGGTAACTGACAAACGCGGAATTGTTAAAGGCGCAAAAGTTTTCTGAATTGTTTTAAATGAGTTTATGAACAAAACATAGATAAAGAATAGTTCAATCAGTTTAAAAATAGTGGCAGATCTGTTACCAGTGAACTAGCTGCTTTCTAGTCAACCTTTTAGCACAAAACTGCTGTGAAAAAGGTCGTTGTTTCTAAACGCCTCAATAATCGCGGATATGCAGGCAATGATGAGGAAATATAACACACTTACTTTTACGCTTAAGTCTATGATTTGTAAAAAGTCATAGGCTAGCATGGCTGAGACATGTCCAGAGCTTTGAACACACAAAAGCAACTAGGAGAAAAATGCAATGGAAACCAATAGACAAATGAAAGAAAGGAAGCAGATGGTTGAGCGATGTGTAGAATAACTTGAGGTTGATGAATCTAAAGTGATGAAAGAGAAGGGTCAAGAAAGATCTGAATAGAAGGAAATAAACAGGACGGCAAATATCTACTTGGAGTTATAAAGAAAGCGTTTCATTTGGAGTTAAAGCGTTTAAACTCGTTAGATGCATGCTTAAAATATAAAACCATATCAATTGGCCTCCGGGGAATGTGGCAATAGGTGATTTACTAAATGCATTGATATTGTACATAAAATTTCATTTAAAACATAGTGAACTATTAATAATTTTTCACTATATATAGTTTTACTATAGACATTGCTGACTGTACTATCTGCAAACTTATTGTCCTAAATTAACTTTTTGTGTTTTAGTGGTGAAAGTGAAGTGGTACCTCAGGTTGTAGAAGCAATATTAAATGTTCCAGAAAATACACATGTAGCCGTCAAATACACGTCGGTGCTTTTATTAGGAGAACTTTGTGAATGGATAGAGAGGCATCCGAACACACTGGATCCAGTTTTGAACTTCTTAGTGTGCTGTTTGCCTCAACCTGGTGTAGGAGCTGCTGCAGCGGTAGCTCTTCAAAACATCTGTGCCAGCTGTAATGATCATATGCCAAGGCACGTCCCGATACTCTTACAGGTACGTAAGAGAGATATTAAGGCCATTTAAAAAGATACAGTGCGTTAAGTTTTTGATTAGGTATTGCACACTATACGGAGCGCTAAAATCGGCAACGTTGCAAATGTTCTTTATCCGACCCGAGACTATCTCAGTATCTACACCGACAACAGAAAATCATTTATTTTAGTTTAGTAACTCACAACAACGTTTGGGATGTACTTCTCTGTCGTCCGATCTCATGTTTCATTACGTATAGCCGATTTTAATAGTAGGAAATTCGATAAAAATGCACTGACCTAATCGGTGCATTGTTATCGATTTTTATTAATGTGAAAATTTTTTTGTGGTTGAATTAAAAATAAAAGCGTATTTCTTTAAAAAGATAAAATAAAAAATATACTCTTATTGAAAATTAAAATATTATTCCTAATTAAATAAAAAATAATTCTTTATGACCTACAGAAATGGTTCAAATAGTAGTTGACCTTCTACGGCTGAACAGTACCCCAATCTATCATAAAAACTTCTGCGAACAGATGAAAGAGTTTCTGCTGAAACAGAATTGAAGACTTCTCTTATTCGATTTTTTAATTCATTTAAATTTTGGGCTCTAGCCTCAGGATGAGCGTAGATAATGCTTTTTAAATGTCCCCAAAAAAAGAAGTCCATGGGTGTAAGATCTGGAGATCGCGCAGGTCACTTAATATCGCCTGTTCCACTGATAACTCGATTCGGGAAAGTATTGTTTAAATACTCCCTAACAATTCGAGCGTTGTGAACTGAACAGCCGTCTTGATGAAACCAAACATTCTCCAGATTTACATCAGGAAGATTGAGAATAACGGGAAGAACATGATTCTGTAACAAATCGAGGTATACTCTACTATTCAAGTTGCCCTCAATAAAAAATGGACCTATTATGTGGTCTCCTAAAATGCCAGTCCAGACGTTAACTTTTTGAGGACGTTGAGTTCGGTAAACAACACTTCTGTGCTGGTTTTCCCGCGCCCAATACCTCGTAATGGAAGGATTGTGTCTCCCTACTAACGAAACAGAAGATTCATCAGTGAATAAAATGTTTTTAATAAAATTTGGTTCACTATTAGCCTTCGTTATTAGAGTTTCACAAAACTCCATTCTTCGAAAGTAATCGTCTGGATAAAGCTGCTGCGTTTTCGAATATTTAAAATTCTTGTAACCGTGCTTTTTCCATACTTGCGTTACAGTAACATTGCTAACATCTAACTCTTTAGCAACGCTTCTACTTGAACGTGTTGAATCTACCTCGATTGTTGCACAAATTTGTGTATCCCGGTATTCTCTTTCCTCAACTTTTTCTGGTAACACTTCTTGAGCGTGACATTTTCTGCAATTTTTGATCTGCACACTGTTGCGCAGAATTGCCACTATAAAACCATTTTATTATTTGAGCTTTTTCCGCGGCCATATAAACAGACATGTTTACAAAAATAAATTAAAACTCTACGCTGTTATACCTTTAAACAACCACGGTATAATGACAATATGACAAATTTGCCGACGGGCGACGAGCAACGACGAGTCAACGAAGCAGATATGTAGTGCAAGTCGACGACGCGCAGTGTTGCCATTTATAGAGTGTATACCTAATCCAAAACTTAACGCACTGTATATGTATTTTACTACTGTACATAGGATATACAGGAATTATGTCCGATTTTAATAAATGATATAATTGTATTGCTATATTTGAATAGGAATTTAAGATCCTTAACAAAAAAGTGTCCCTCGGTTCAGATTGTGTCGGAATTAAAATATAAAAGGTTTCTAACATAGTCGGTAGAGGTGTCGATCATCCATTTTTTACACAGTTTTATACAAGCTTTATGTAATGGTGGGGCGGCAAATCATCAGCTAGGCTGATGATTTTTATTTGTAGAAATGAGGCCAGAATCAAGCAGTTTTTTTTACATCCTTTTAACTTTTTAATGTTTATATATATTTTCTTCTTATGGTGCCCTATCCAATTAATGGATGTTGACGTCAATTCTGACATACTCCTCTCGATCTTGTGTGGCTCCAAAGAGTGCATGGGCATCGAGGTTTGTCCAATCCCTTATATTTGTAAGCCATGAGTATTTCTTTCTTCCGATGCCCCATTTTCTTTCTATCTTCCCTTCCATAATAAGCTTTAAGAACTGGTACTTGGAATTTCTAAATATATGACCCAGATAAGCAGTTTTTCTTCTTTTTAATATTGGCAGCAATTCTCGTTCTCTGTCCATTCGATTGAATACTTCGAAATTTTTTGTGTGATCTGTCCAGGGAATTTTAAGTAGTCTTCTACATACCCACATTTCAAAGGCCTCCAATCGGTTTATCACATTGGCCTTTATGGTCCAGGTTTCTACACCATATAGCAGTATGGAGTAAATGTAAAATTTTACAAAGCGATATCGAAACGTTAAGTTAAGGCTGCTATTGCTTAGCAAGGTTCTCATATTAGTAAATGCTGTTCTGGCTTGCTCAATCCTGCTACGTATCTCTATGATCTATGTCTGGATCTAGATCTTCAGTTATCCAACTACCGAGATATCTGAACTTACGCACCTTTTGGATGTTCTTATTGTTTACTCTTATATTTAATTGCATATTTCGTGTTCTACTAACCACCATTACCTTCGTCTTGTCTATATTAATCTTCAAGCCCAACCGTTCTCCTTCAGTGTTTATTCTGTCTATTAGTCGTTGTAGCGCTTCTTGGCTATCAGCTATTATGACTGTATCATCATCATAGCGAAGATTACTAATAGTCTGTCCGTTGATTTTGATTCCATCTTCAGTGTCACTTAAGGCTCTATCGAAAATCGTTTCAGAGTAAAGATTAAAAAGGAGGGGTGACAGAACACAACCCTGTCGTACACCTTTTTCGAATGAGAAATAAGATGTAGATTCCAGTCCTACTCTCACAGATGCCACTTGATTCTTCTCTTGTGCCAAATCCTTGTCTGAAACCGAACTGTGTGGGGCTAATGTCTCTTTCACATCTGTTGTATATTCTTGTGTGAATTATCTTTAAGAGGAGTTTTAAGACCTGGATCAATAAGCTGATCATTCGGAATTGGTCGCAACTATTATCGTTTGGTTTTTTTTGGGATTGGTATAAAGGTTGATTGAAGCCAATCCTGTGGTATTTGACCGGACCCATAAATGTCATTAAAGAGATTTACCAAGGCGTCTATATTGTCTTCACTCAACATTGTTAGAACCTCTATGTATATATATATATATATATATATATATATATATATATATATATATATATATATATATATATATATATTGTTCTGAAGCTATTTTCTTGTGGCATTGTAAATTAATTACTATTTAACTGGGAATAAGCCATTATATATGTATGTATATATCGTCTGGGCCTGGTGCTTTTCCCCATTTGCTTTGTTTGTTTTGCCCTTACTTCTGACTTCAATATTTTGGGGAGAGTTCACTTTTATATTCACTTTCAGAGTGTCTTTAATGTTTATATATGAGAAATTAAATTTATCTGCGAGAGAAACTTGCGACAATATTATATTTTAAATTAAGGATCATTTTGCTTATCCCCAAAAGACAGTTCTTCTTGTCCCGTGATATCCCACCTATTTTCTTTAAAAAATTTTATGATTTACTAAAATTTATTTTAGCTTCTTCACCAAGCGGATTCCTTCGCCATCACGAACACAGCTACTTTGGGTCTTCTAAGAGGAGTGGCCTCGATAATAGGTCGAATGCCGCACGAGGAGTTGACGAAGTCCTTACATGAATTGTGTTCTATGCAGCTCAATCCGATATGTCAAATCATAGAACAGGACGTTCATCCAGTGAAGGGGGCCAACACAGATCCGGTAATGTGGCTCGATAGACTTAGTGCAGTGCTTAGATATGTTAATGTACATATTCCGGAAGGTAAGTGATTGACAGATACATAGTATCATTAGCTATAGAATTTTTCATATAACAATGATTGCACGTCATTCAAGATTTACGACGTCAGAATTCCACAGCGTTGCCAAAACATCAGAATAGTTAGTAAGTGAGGAATTTTTAAAATGTCAACTATTTGTCAAACTATTATATTAACAGTAAATACACTTAGTTTTAAGACTACTGCAACACGCTAAAATACATAAGAAAACATTTTAATATAAAATTATATATTCTGAATTTTAAACTTACCTCTTTTAGAGCATTAATAGTAAAACCGTTCCGTCATTATTTCTTGTTCAAAATTATCTACCTTATATGAGCTTTCTCAGCCTATTTAGTTTCTACAGACTATTTAGTTGTTTTGGCGTAGCACAATCGCAATACACACATAACAATAATTAGTTTTTAGAGCTATTAATCTAAATTTAATATGTATTCATAAATACAATTTATTAATCTATAATATATTATGATCAAGTTGTGTAAGAAATCAAAACATAAACAAAATTCTTACTCTAAAAAAGCGGCAGTACTTTAAACAATTTTGCCACACATTGAACTGTCATTAAAGTTTGAAGTATTCCAGTATCAGTTGCGTACAATTGTCTAATCTATTTAATTAAAATTAATATTTTGTGGAATATTAGACTTAAAGAGTTATTTCATAAAATTTATATTATTAATAATAACAAATGTTTTTGGTTATTTAATCAATATAATTCTAAAATTCCCAATATAATGATGATTACATTTTTTTGATTATTATACCATGTTGGCGCCTATGAAAGATCGAGCTGATCCGCATGGGTTTCGTATTATTAGCTTAGTATTAGCTTTCGTATATTATTATTTCGTGTTAGGAAAATTTGAACTCTAAGGTTGACATTCTGGAAATTTTAAATATAAGTGACGTCACTTTATATAAATTGTGACGTGCAACGTTTTTACTTTAAAAAATGGTATAGTTTTTCTTTAGCGTGTTGGTTTTATTGTTATTGTAAAATGTATGCAGTCGCGATTTGAAAGTGTAGTCAATAAGGCGGTGTGGGTACGAATTAAGTGTTAGTGCCGTTTTTGCTTTTTTAATGACCTGAGTTCTATTGATAGGATCGGATAATCTGATTGCTCTGTCGGCAAGTCCGATAATTACAGATTTCTTTTGAGACAAGGGATGATGAGAGTTAAAATTTAGATATCTCGACGACCAGGTTTTTTTGGTGTACCATGAAGTAGTTATAGTGCTGTTTTCTTTATGTAAAGTCAGCAAAGTTTTTTTCAACTTCTAATGTAAAATTTAGTTTTTGGTGAAAGTTCTTGAATTTGTTTAGTAAAATATCCATTTTATCCTCTGGTGCTGCACTTAAGCAGACATCTATATAGCGATAGACAAAAGGTATATAAAAATCTATTTTATTTAAAACAATTTCCTCTAGATGCTCTAAAACTAATTGAGCGATGGCACACCCATACCACATCCATCTGTTTGTTGGAAGATAGGAAATAGGTTGACTTTAATGTTGTTTCAAAGTAGAAATTCTTCTAGAGGGATGTCTGTGAACACTGAATAAAATCAAAGTAAATAAATTATAATTTAAAAGTGTGGTTAATTTACATTTAATATTGATTCCAAAAGGAAAAAGAGACAAAAGTAAATACATTGAGCGACAAAAAGTGACCACCCTATAAATTTCCGAAAATAAAAATTCATTGGAAGTTTTATGCTCTGTTTCATATTGCATCTCAAATTAAATATTTTTTGCGATCTTTTGCTTGTTTTTGACAGTTTCGACGTTTATCGTTCCGGTCGTAGAAGAGTTACCTCGTATAGAGATGATTTATCGTTTTATTGTAATGGAACTTTTAAGAAATCGCCATTCCACTGCAATTGCTGAAGAAACCGTCTGCAGGAGGTTCACAATGGGAATGTACGTGAGAGAACGCTTAGAAGACGCCTCAAGGAAAGAGGGCTAGTGGCAAGAAGTCAGGTTATTGTTCCCATATTACAACCCAGACACTGTAGGAATCGATTAATTTTTTCTCAACAACATCAACACTGAGATATACAGGATTGAAGCTGAATTCTCCTTACTGATGAATCGTGGTTCTGTTTGTAGTCTGGCGATATGCTTAAGCTTGTATGTCTCAGAGAAGAAAGTTTGGCGATGGTGGTGTCATGGTTTGGGATGGAATCTCACTTGAAGCTTGAACTGAACTTACTTTCATCAATGGCCCCCTGAATGCTCACTGGTATATAGAAGATGTTTTGGCAGAATCAGTAGTTTAATTTGGTTCTTTTATTGGGAACAATTTCGCCTTTATGCGTGATAATGCACGGCCGCATACTGCAAGAATCCTGACATATTACTTGGGAAAGTTGGAATTCAGACTCTAGAACGACCAGCTTGCAGCCCCGATCTGAATACCATCGAACATCTTTGGGATGAACTTCATTATAAGTCAACCAGGCCAGCCAGAAAGTCTTGCAGAACTTCAAAACATGCTTCGTGAAGAATATGAACGTATTCCTTTATAAAGTTTTTATTCGATTTTTTTTCCTTTTCCTTCCAAATCGTATGCAAGTGATTATTGATGTTTTAGGACATAACACCCGATATTAGACAACTTTGTTCAAGTTCACTCGTAGTTTTTTTTTGTAATTTGTTTCGATATCACACTATTTTCTTTTGTAGCCTTCTAATAAAATAAATTATACTAAGAAATCAAACAGTAATGGCCATTTTTTGTTTTAAAAATAAAAGATATTGAGAATACAATATGTGCATAAAACTTCCAATGAATTTTTATTTTCGGAAATTTATAAGGTGGCCACTTTTTTTTGCCGGTCAGTGTAGTACAATAGTATTTAATATATGAAATATGATTTTGATTCTATTACATATTAAAGAAACATTTTTGTAAATCTACTAAGTACAAAATCTATTTTCAGGTGTGGAAAACCCTTGTAAACCGGTAATTCTCGAAGTGTGGCCCGTATTGTCTCGCACGTTCGATAAATACCAAAGTGACATTAGGATAATGGAGAGATGTTGTCGCGCTGTGCGTTTCATGCTTCGGTGCGTTGCGCAAGAAGTGCGAGAACTCTTAGAAAGTCTAGTTGGACAAATAGTGAGGATCTATACGTTATACCAACATTCGTGTTTTCTGTATGTCGGTAGTATACTTGTGGACGAATACGCTATAGATCCGATATGCGTGCCAGGACTACTGGATATGCTACAAGCGTTTCTAGAACCTACCTTTCACGTGTTGCAGGAGGAGAACGGGTTGAAGAATCATCCCGATACGGTAGATGACTTTTTTAGGTAAATAATTTTTAATACTATTATATTGTGCACTAATATTTTAAAGTCGATATATACAGGGCGAGTCACCACTAACGGGACGGAAGATTACAGTGAAACGGTAAAAGATTTGAAAAAATTTTAAATTCATAGTTTGAAGGTTGATAAGGGCTACATTTTTAAATTATTTTGAAATATACAGGGCGTCCCAATAAAGTGCGGCTATCAAAGTTATATTTTTTCTTATGGGACAGCCTATATTTTATTACATTTTCTAATGGTCAGCTAAAAATTAGGTATAGTTTCATAAGACTTCCCTATACCTATGTACAGAGTGTTCTGAGTTATGTGGAATATTCTTAAAATGTAAAGCTTTAAACGAAGACCCATTCCTAACTTATTTAAGAAATTCTAATAAAATTGGTTATACCTCTAAATAGTTGGATATTGGTTAAATGTATTTCATGATTAATTATTAAACATTTATTTACAGGGTGTTCAAAATTTGTAGTTTCATTATTGGATTATTCAATGTGTAATATAAGGCTTATTTTAAATGGAACATCCTATATATTAATGAATTATTATATTAAAAACATTTTCCACTTTCGAATGGCATATGATATATGATGTCCTATAACTAGGAGTGATAGATTTTGCGTAATTTAAAATTTTCTTTTCGATTTCAAAATATTTATAGTTGTTACTCTCGATTTTTAAACCCATCATTTTGACATATTTGTTATAAATGAAACCAATGTAGTTGTAAACAAATGTGTATACTTTACACTTTTACTTGCTGATGCATAACGAATCAGAAAGAATTTTAATAAAACAAATAATACAAAATAAACTACAACTTACTACATTATAAGCAAAAAAAAAAATTTTAAACAAGACTCATTCTCGACTTACTTAAGTAATTATAACAAATTTTCTCTTATAGCGAAATAGTTGGGTAATGGTTAAATTCATTCCATGATTGATTATTAAACATTTATTTACAGGGTGTTTAAAAACTTAGTTTCAATTTTGGATTATTCAATATCTAATATGAGGCTTATTTTAAATGGAACACCATGGATATTAATTAATCGTAATGATTGCGCTGAATTGGAAAATAAATTCTCATAAACCAGTTTTTTCTTTAATAATATTGTTGATTTATAGTGCTTCTACTGACAACTATATAACTTTGTAACATCAGGAATTACCTTATAATATAATCATAATAAATTCTTCTTTCCCGAGAACTCCTTAAAGCCGAGTTTGGGTGTTGGAGTGATATTTTCTTATTTCTTTTACCCATCTCTTCCGATCGCTAGCTAGTTCTTTCCTGTGTTAAAATGATTTTCCTTTTTCTTTGCCTATTTTCAGTGATTGTTCCAACCATCCCACCCTTGTCTTCACTTTCTTCTTTTTCCATATCTCTTGGATTCCATTACTCTTCTTACTAGTGTTCTCGGTCATGGTTCTCGGTGCCATCCTAATAATGTGTTCGAACCAGTTTCATCTTCTTTTGATTTTAGATCCTGTCGGATTCTCCAATTCGCTTCGTATGTAATCATTTCTGATACGATCCATTTTTGTGACACCAGCTATTTTTCTTAGTTTTTCAATTTCCACTGCGTTCAGTGCGCTGTTCATTTTGGTGTTATTGACCCATGTCTCGCTTGCATACAACAGTGTTGGTATTGTTACTGCATTATACACCTTGATCTTAACTTCTGCTTCTATTTCTTGTTTTCCAAAAATCGTGTTATTCAGTGCATAGTAAATTTTGTTTGCCTTCTTCACCCTGTTTGATATTTCGTGATCGATTGTTCTGTCTTCTGATATAACTACTCCTAAATATTCAAAAGTTGATACTGTCTGAATTTAGTTTTACTTACAGTAAAGTGGAGAATGATTTCGCTCATCGACTTTCTTTTTTTTAACTATCATACTTTTTGTTTTCTTGATTTTTATTCCCATTCTTTGTTTTTCTGATTGTTTCAACCATATATTTATCAATTCTTGAATCTTTCCTCTAGTGTCTGTAATTGTACAATGTCATCTGTACATAGAAGTCTGTCAAGTCTTACCGGTATTAAGTTCAAATATCCCACGTAGTTTGCAGATGGTTTGTAGCCCTTGTAGTATTTTACAGAATTTCATCCATTACTAGGATGAATAGTACTGGGTTAAGGCTATCACCTTGCTTTATTTCCTTTTTAATATTGATATTTTTTCTCCTATTTTATGAATAGGTACCATTAAATTCTTTTCCCAATCTTTTGGTATGGTTTCTGTTTTCCGTGTCTCTCTCAGGATTTCTAGTAGCCATTTTTTACCTTCTGTCTCTATCCACTTTATCATTTCAGGATCGATGTCGTCTGCTCCTCCCGCTTTTCTTGTCTTAATTCTTGATGACCCATTCTCCAACTCTTCCATGGTTTGTTCGAAAACTTCCTCTTCTTGTATAGCCTATTAAAACATAATTTTTGACAGTTAACATTTAAGATGTTAATTGAACTTAAAATTAAATGAAAATGTCGACGAGTATGGATTTTTTGTCCATTTTAGTTAAAAATCCATAATATCGACATTTGTACTATGGTTTCATTATTTCATATTTTCATTATAGTTTCTATTTTTTATACACGGCAAACTTTTATTAAAAAAAACTTGTGATACTAATATTTTTCTATTTGTTATTTAGGTTGTGCGCAAGATTTATGCAGAGGGCGCCTTTAGCATTTTTAAAATGTTCTTCCTTGGTCCACATCTTACAGTGTGCACTTTTGGCTTCTTCACTGGACCACCGAGAAGCGAATATGTCTGTGATGAAATTCTTTTACGATTTGATAAATCAAGGCCAGAGCGGGAGAGCTGATCCCGAATTCAATCAACGACAGATGTTAGTTAAAAGGTTAGTATATTTAGTATAGTTAGTATATATGCGATTATTATTGCGCCGAGGTTTCGACAACTCTTAAGTTAAATTGTACTAACCGTGGAAATCTTTCGGAATATTTTATGAACTGATTTTAGTTTGAATTCCATAAAGTTTGGTTTGTAGTTTTTAAATTATATTTATTTTGTATACTCACCAGCATCCTCGACGAGTATGGCCAACAACTAGTCTCAAATTTAATCCATTCTTGTGTCTTCTACCTCCATTCCTACATGCTCAGCGAAGTCGGCGACGTATTCGTGCAGCTGCTCGATTTTGACAGAGAGATCACCTGCAAATGGGTAGCGGCGGGTCTCGATGTGTTACCGAAAAACAGTAACGGTGGAATTATGGCCGCCACACCTCAACAGTTGACGGATATACATACCACTATTAGTAGGTAAGTCAATCACGAATCATTCAAACGATTCAAATGTAACAAATAGATTATTTCATTGAGTTTAGTTTTCTCATCCATGTTAGAGTCGATATCGAATCAAATCTAATTGGAAAGTTCTTTTCATTGTCGCTTATATCAATATTTTTTAAAACTAGTAATTAGTACTAAGCTGACTTGCCAATGGTAAGTGTGATCTTACCGAAACGTAATGAAGGTTGTTTATGTAGGAAATGTTACAATTAGCTAGTTAATTAATTAAATTCGTAAGCAATTAAATAAAACATGATTGTAAATGAGAAAAACAATTGGCATAACTTCATAAGAATTATGAATCTGTTATCTGAGGCTAATCGGCATTTTTTAAAACTAGTTAGTCCATTCATTAACAAAATAATAAATATATGTTCTCATTTATTCATTCATTATTTTCTTCTTTAGAAGTTGAGACACAATTTATAATGCAAATCGTTCGCAGTGAACTAGTTCTATGAAAATTAATGAACTAGTTCAATTAGTTCAGTTGAAAGAATCGTTCATTTGAACTATTTCGATGGTGAACTACACATCTCTACTGTACAATATTTACTAAATGCTTTTCCAAACAACATTAATAAATATAAAATTTCTATAGTTGATTTATTTATGTTTCAGGTCGAATACTTCCAAGTCCGTAACGCATGCTCTCAAGGATCTGGCAAGGTTATATCGTTAACATTAAGAATAAATGTCTGTTTTTGACATATGTGTATTGTGTAATATAAATATTTTATATTGAACTTGTCAAGTGCTGCATTATGTAATGATTGGTTGCATGTGTATAGTTGGAAAAGAAGATATTGTATTTTTATTGTCATACAATTTAAGAATAAAATACTGTTAGTGTTCCCGTCAGGTTTATTTGGCATGCAACCAATTCCAATCAAAAAGATCGAAAAAATTGACGTAAAGTTGCATCGCTAAATAAAAATAAAAGAACAACTTTCTCAAAGTGTTATCCTTTTTATCCCCAAATTTGCATATTTTAACAGCTTCGACAGTTCCAGAGGATTGTAATTGTACTCAGAGGGAATTTGTGCCCTTCTTTTATAAGGCTAATAAAGACCAGTTAACACGGAGCAATAAAAACAGAATTTATTACGTTGCTGCTATAGCCGTCATGCATGCATGTACACGACTGCTGGAGCTGTCATTTTTTATAAAACTAGCAAGCCCATGAAACCTGATGTAAAAAGTCCACCGAACTATAGAAAAGAATAAAAGTCTGAAAGTCATGAGAAGACGGGTAAACAATTGATAATGTAAAATACACAAACTAAAGAACAAAGGAGTCTCCATATCAAATAGAGAAGAACTACTACACATAGTTGAAGACTTCTATCAAGAAATATACACAAGTCAAAGAGGAGACCAAACGAACTGGGAAGCCGCGGCATCACGCAACATCAACCAGGGTTCAGAGCTTATTCCAAAGATAACACTAAGCGAAATCTAAGACGCAATGAAAAAGATGAAAAACAACAAAGCACCAGGAGAAGATGGAGTCGTAATAGAAGCTAGAAATATGGGCGGATGTGCTCTTCTCAACCAAACAAAAATTTTGTTTAACCTTTGTCTAACAGATAGTTGCATACAGGAAACATGGAACAATGCAGTAATAATTTTACTACACAAAAAAGGAGACAAGGTGCACCTAGAAAACTATAGACCAATCAGCTTATTGAACCACATATATAAAATGTTTAGCGGAATAATTACGGCAAGACTAGAAAAAAGTTGTATTTCTACCAGCCCCGAGAACAAGCTGGCTTCCGCTCAAAATTCGGAACAAACGATCACCTACAACCAGTAAAAACCTTAATAGAAAAATTGATAGAGTATAACAGATCACTTCTATTTATCTTCGTAGACTTTCACAAGGCCTTCGATACCGTGGAATTAGATACGCATTAGACAACGCGTATAAAAATAATAGAATAAAAATAGACGGAGAAATGCTCAATCATCTCCGTTTTGCCGACCATATAGTACTTATTACCGAAGATCTGCGTAAAGCACAACTAATGCTGCAAGAATTAGAAAACGTATCAATAGGTCTAAAAATGAACATATGTAAGACCAAATTTATGACAAATTTGGTTCCTAGCGAACACGCAGGTTTTTCGCGAAAATGCAAACTGCAAAAGCAGGTCTAACCCAATATACCGTATGTATAGAGACTGCGAAAGAACGACCTATCGATCTCGTTTTGGCTTTTTGCTGAAAAGGTTTTTCATCAAGATGTGTCAACAGGTACTACAGTGATAACTGGCTTGTAGCAGCTAAGCGCTCATGGTGACGTTGCTTTTTGATCCGGTAATGTTGGCTCCTGATATCATTGCGAAGGGAAATTCGGCAAGCGGTTAGATTATGCCTCCAAGGCCGTATTATTTTAATCAAAGGTAGCCAGACATAGAGTTTCAAAAATCAAAAGGCTCAAAACAATGTGACTTCAATAGGCGACCATAATTCGTTAATATTGTCGCACGTGCCGTTATTTCCATCGAAATACCAGATTGTTAGACGGACCAAGAAAAGTATTATAATCTTTTTGGTGTTGCAACTTGAATTGTTTTTAGACGACTTATCTAGTTGCCACGATGATATCTACTGAGAATCATTCCTCAGTTTCGAGATTTGATTTGTCGTTTTTTATATGAAAGTAGACAATTAAATTTCTTTTCAGTTTGAGGTCCACCATTCTCTTACCGACAGGGAGACATGTGGGACCTCGAGTATAACTGAAATGCTGTTATGTTATAATAACATAACACGCCTGTGTAGCGACCTCTATATGAGGCATACAGAATCTATTTTCCTGTCCCTGTAAAAGTTTTTAGCAGTAATACAGGGACACCTCTCCTGTATCCACCTTTATTTAGTCATTACTTTTCCATTATATACTTACCCTATCCATTGTACCTACGTGCAGCTTATGTACACCGCTTATTTTAACAAGTAACAACATAACACCTAAAATCCCCATTTTTTGGTTAGAAAGTAAAACTCCACAGATAATAAAAATTATATTTAAAAATGTTAAATAAAAAATATATAAATAGGACAACGAAAATTAAAATACTCATAACAATATTTGGACTAGCTAAAGGAATAAAATTTTTGCAACCCCAAATAAACGTTCTTCAATAAATACCTACCTATTCAATGTTTACCTAATAGTAAACTATGTATAAATCATTGAATATATTAAAATATCAGTGGCATAAATATTTATACGATTTATGCATGCGTCTTTTTTTCTGTAACAAAAAACTGATTTCAATAGATTATTTATTATAATTTGTTGTTGTTATTCATGTTATTTGAGGTTGCAATGTTATGCAGTAGATAATTATAATTTTCACTGTTTAAAGTGTTTGTGTTTACTAAAGAAAAATTCAAATTATATGAATAACGTTTATATTCAAACACTGTGAGTTTTCACGGGGATGTTTTCACTGTGAGCTCTGTAAAAGAAAGCGATATTATCAAAGAGAGTGCAGTCGAAGCGAAGTTTGCATAAGACAGTCTTGATCATTACTAGAGCATCATGATCTATCCTCCAACGTCAACTGCTGAACATAGGTCTCTCATGTGCTTTTCCACTTAATCTAATATGCAGTCACTCTTTTATGTCATCGGATCATCTTCGTTTTTGTAAGCTTGTATTTGGGGTCTCCATTCCAAAATTCTTTTGGTCCACCGATCGTCAACTGCTCTTGCATAATTTCCGTATTCTATCACGTAGAGAAACCTCTAATAGTATTCTCTCCATTGCTTCTATTCAGCTCGATTGTTTAGTTGTCTCGACTCATTCTGATTTCATGGCCCAAATACTTGTAGGAGTTAATTGGCTCGATGTCTCTATCTTCATACTGAGATATTTTTGCGGACTAAATTGTTTTTGGAAAATTAATTTTAAGACCCTCTCATTTTGTGGCTGTATGGAGCTCTTGCAGCATTATCTGCGCCTATTCAAAGCTGTCCTCAATGAGAACGATGGCATCTGAAATCTTTTAGATGACAAGGTGAAACCTTTTAGACTATTTAAAAATTTTCCATCTACATTGATGGTCCTTGTCGTTCTAATATATTATGTACAGGCGTATTCTAGCAAAGTTGTTAACAATTTAGGAAGCAATTACAGCAAGGAAAATTTCACTTTGGTTGACTATAAAATGATTTTTTAAAGTGGACAAAGACAAGTATCAGGAGTCTAGTATATTCAATGTTCTTTTCAATTAACGACTTGATGGATTTCAAATGGATCATTTGTTCGGTATCCAACTCTAAATCCTACTTGCTCACAAGGTTGATAGTCTAGTTATGGTGTTACCCTATTAGTTTCTTCATAGACAACTTATAAAGGTGAGATATCAAGCTAATAGGTCTATAATTCTTCAGTCCCGTTATATCTCCTTTTTTGTACATGACTACTCATCATCATAGTCATTAACATCTTGGTTTGTATTTGAAAGACAAGAGTTATGTAATTATGCCAATGAATTTTGATACTGCCTTTCTTCCTGCTTTAACTCCCTCAATAATCCCTACATCGCCTTTGATAATATCTGCGACATTCGTAAATAAAATGTCAGCAGACCACGGCATATAAACCTGAAGAACATTGTATTAACAAGCTAAATAATATATGACTAATCCTTACGATAAAATCTTAGTCCCAAAAAACTGATACAGACTAAATTGCTTATAATTATCTACTGCTTACAAAACTAGACTGAAAACGAAATAATATAAATGATTTTCTAAACAATATTTCTGCGGCAATCCCTAAAATAAAAATATCCACAGTATCACAACAAACGCTTTTTGATTTAATAATATTTTTCTTTTTTTATTTTACAACTTTTATCCGTTATATCCTTAAAATAATTACAATTTTCAATTGTAAAGACGCTAAAAGAAGCACAGCGTTTCTTAAAATGCAACAAATAAATTAGCCAAAATTATTTAAGTATTGAACTTACTCGATGTGGAAAAGTGGAGAACAAGAAAAATTAAGCCTTACGCCTTTTTAAAACTACTTATTTTTGTATCAAAATTTGTGTTGCCATATGATTTCAAAATAAGTCATGCGCCAAAATACCCTATCACAAAATTGTGAAAAATGTTCTTGTGGCATTTTATTTGTATTCCGTTTAAAATTTCGCGCCAAAAACGCCCATACTTGTCACGTGACCGCTGCGACGTCAGAGGATCCAAACATTGGTAAACAGTAAAGTGATATTTGTTTAAAATATGAATAATATATTAATTAACCACAATTTTACTTTACAATAAGTTTATTTTGACGTTTGGATTCCACTTCGCAAATCGTTCTCAAAATACAAATTTAATTTAGAGCCAAGATTAAGAAGAAAAAATAAGATAAAAACAAAGATTATAACGTTTGTGGAGATATGGGTGTTCAATAAAGATAGGAACGTAGAATATTGTGAAGCATGTTTGGAGAGATAAAAATAGTAAAGGGTGGAGAAGAAAAACCAATCAGCGAGAACTGAGGCATACCCAAACAATTATTGTGGGAGGAATGCCAACAATGGTCCTAATTTGAAGGTCCATAGACCGTAGAAGGAGAAGACCAGGAACGAAGTGGCTAGAATAGGTTGAGAGAGACTTAAAAGAAATAGTTGTCTTGATCTGCTGGAGAACAGAAGATGGAGAAGCATTGTCAAAAGCTTTAATGGAAAAATAGTTTAAACCAATACAAATGTAACTGTTTGACTAGTCCTAGTAAGTAAGTAGATTCTTTGTATTTATATAATAAGTGAGGAAGAGCTGGACTAGACAAATTGATACTCTGTGGCTTAAATTGCCTTCAAAGAGGTGAAATTGGCAATACTTTTTGGTTTACAGTTGGTATTAAGGAATCAGTCCCTCATCATTTGGCAACATAAGCGTATACAGACAACTACGAGTTTTGTAATCTGTAAAAATGGCGCTTAAAAAAATAAAACCAAAGATAAAACTATTTTTAAACGATTCTTATAAAAAATTCGTTGTACCCGTATATATGGAATGTACTTATGATACTTTGGCATTTTTTAAACGTTTTCTTTTAGCATCTCCACGCAACACATACAAAATTATAAGAAATATATTTCACTTCATAGGCTCTTATTCACAGCTTGTTGATTATATTGTACATATTATCTACTAGATAAATAATTTGTGCTTTGAATAAGACATCAAATCACTAGGTGCGTTGATTCATTTTGTAAAATGTTTAAAATGGAAGTTAATTCGTTTAGTTTGAGACCAGAAAGAAAAATAAGAGATAAAGCTTTGTTTTGGTAAGTACTCATTTTAAACTTGGTTTATGATTGTTTGTAATTTATGATATTCATGATTGGTAGTGTTTAAAAGAACTAAATATATGCTGAAAACTTAAGGAATGTAAAAATTTATTTTTAAAAACGCCCCTTTAATAGGAAAATGGTACAGTAGGCGGTACTGCAGACTAGAGCGCAGCTTTATATTATGTTTTCTGTATTTTTAAAATTTAAATATTTTTAAAATTGAATAAAGTAATTTTATTATTTTTTTATTATAGATTTTAATAAAATTGAAAAGATTTAAATGTGTTATAACGGACTCTCCTCGTCGCGTAAATGGACTCTTCCAACTGTTTACTGTGACTGCGAACGACGAACCGTCATTTCGTTTCATGACGATACTTTGCGTGACGCTTGCCTCAGCATTTTACTCTAGAGAAAAAGTAATATAACTCCAGTATAGAAGCTTCGCTTAAAAAAATCATGAATAGATGTGTATACTACACAAACCATAAACAGTTTCTCTATTCTATCTTTAATAACCTTCAAGAACAGTTTATACGAAAAAAAAAAAATAAAGGATTCCTATAAGCATCATATTATGTATATTGATCTTGAAAGAATGTATAACAACTATACCAACCTGCTCAAAACAGTACCATTCCCTGATGACGAATGCCTTAGGAGATGCCTGACTGACACCAAAAAATAACATGGACAAAAATATCACCACCTAGAGACTTCACAAGGTCAAACAGCTTCCCAAATATACGACCAAAGACAAGAAAAAAAGAGACACTACTTGCTACAGCGTTCACCTTTGAAGAACTATTCGTCACATGAAACAAAACAAAGTTGCTAGCCCAGACGATGTCAAGACAGAACAGATAAACCAACCAATGACGAACAAGTATGCTGAGAGTTGCTACTGTCCTAAACTTTGCAGGAAGGCCCACGTAATCGCGCTCCTTATGTCGTCGGAAAATCACCTACAGAGCCGAAACACTTTTATAGTATGTTGCAGAACAGAAGATTGTACGTATTCTATAAAGAAAAAAGAGTTGGTAGAGAACCAAACTTTAATTCTCAGGGATCATAATGTAGTAACATTGGATTTTTAGTGCGCCTCAAAAGTTTGTCCAGAGCTGAAAATACCTCACTTTTATGACCAAGAAATGACTGCAATTTCTGATCCGAAAGAACAGAGTTAAAGTAGCTTGAGACGGACTTGTACAGCAGAAGCCCCGAAACCATCACGAAACTTCGAGTGACTCAGTAGTCGCCAGGTCAGTATCAAAACTCCCCAGAATTGTTCAAACAACTCCTGTGCGTGTGTATAACTGTATTTCTGTTACTGAATGATCAGTTTGGCCTGTATTTTGGAATTAAATAAAGCAATTATAGAAATAAATAAAAGAACCGTGATTAAATTCCCGCCACAATACTATGCGAAAAAAAAAATGGTAAACAATTTTTTTTAAGTTAATTTGTTGATATAACCAGCATTCCAAAATGATTTTTTTATTGGATATCTCTAACTAAGTAATTAATGTAATACTTGAACCAAAACAAATGCTTCCAAGTTGGTTTGATTTAGAAAAGTCATAAAAGTCTTGTAAAATTTCGTTATGAAATGTGTATAGACCTAGTGCAGTATCAAAAGAGCCAGAAGTACAAAATGTATCAAAGAGTATGAAAGATATAAATTTTTTTAAGTCGAAAAGGCAGCGGTATAGCCATAAGAACAAAATATAACTTCTTTCTAAAATGTATAACATTTAATCAATTTTTAATTTTCTAATCACTTATTTGTGATTTTATTGAATACGTTTCAAACGAGTTGTTTATCGAAATAACTTCTACTCCAACCAAACGGAATATATATTATTATATTTCTGACTAGTGTTCTTCATAAATACATAAAAATGAATTATATAATAAATACAGGGCAATTTTTGATATTAATCTATTTGCAAAACGTTATCACAAATACATCAAATACACATCATACTGCGATAACGCCACATTTCAAAAGTTTATAACTGATTACTTGTTTTAAAAGTTGTTTCCATAGTCACATATGCATCCGAAACGTGGACCTTAAAGAAAGCGGATGAAAATAAACTGGACGCTTTTGAAATATGGGTATACCGCCGCATGTTGAGAATATCCTGGATTGATCATCGCACTAACGTATCGATATTAGAACAACTTAAAGTAAAGGATAGATTGCTTAAACAAATACAAAAGAAATATTTGCAGTATTTTGGACACATTGCTAGAAAAAGAGGTACGATGGAAAAACTGATAGTCGAGGGTAGAGTTGAAGGAAAGAGACCTAGGGGAAGATCTCCAAGCCGTTGGATAGATCAAACAAAAATATTAACCAAGGTTACATGAATCTGAACAACTAGCCCAGGACAGATAAGGATGGAGGGAAGTCGTGAAAAAACTGTAAAGACCTGATGATGTCACCACATCCCAAAAGGGATTAGAACTGAGGAGGAGGAGCTCGGTGGAGGAAAAGTTATCGATAACTCGAGCAATAGAGAAAGGTGAAAAGGGGCGAAAAAGGGGAAAAAATATGGAAGGACAGAAAAAAGTGGCTTGAAGCGGAGATGGAGGGCGGTAGGAGGAAGAAGTTGCGGAAACCTCAGCACGAAGATTTAGATCGCGCTATGCTTTAGTGGTTCCAGCAGCAGCGTATGAACCATATTCCACTTTCTGAGCCTGTGGTCAGTACAAAAGCTGAGTTTTTTGCAACTGAGCTTGGAATTGAGAATTTTTGAAAAAAGCGATATCGAGCTTAAGAAAAAATCTTCTGCTTGTAGACAATTATCTTGCTCATCCTGTACTGTGTCACCTTCAAAACATTGCACTAACTTTGTTTTCTGCCAGCAAACACAACGAGTGTCCTTCAGCCCATGGACCAAAGTGTCATCAAGAGTTTGAAAAGCCATTACAGAAGATTTTGATGGAGTTGGTTGAGAACAATGGCGATCTTAAACTAAACAATCTTGACGCCATCCTAATGATTAGTAAATCCTGGGACGAGGTGACGAGCAATACAATAAAACATGCCTTCAAATATGCAGGAAGGCTGGAAGATCAAGGATTGACTAATGATGAAGATGGCATGCCATTAGATGTTTCGGCCAGACAGTTTGAACTTACTATCACCTACGGACCGGAAGAGCTAACAGATTTTGAAGAAGTTTATTGATAGTGTAGCTACAACATCTGGACTTTCTGACGAGGACATCCTACAACCCGGAAGTGGTAGCAGAACCAAAAATAGCTCCGACCCCTCAGCAGGCAATGGATGCAGCAAAAGTACTGCATCGATTCTAGCGTCTTCAGGACAAGGTAAGGTTAGTTCTGTAGAAAGGGGAAAAGAAACAGACCAAGGTGACAGACTTTATGGCTAATGTAGGCTGAATATATTTTACAGTAGCATATTATTTTGTTATGTTTTAAATGTACAGTCATTTTTTTTATACTGTATTGCTTATACAATTCTTTAATAAATCTATGTGGTGTACAATACAGTGGTAATTCTTTTATATTAGTTTTAATTTTTAACATTAACAACCAAATGTTATGTTTCCAACATAACATTTTTAATATATTACAGTACCGAATACATTATTATTTCAGTACCGAATTTTGTCTCTCTCTGTATAACGATCTCTCCTCATAACGATAAAAATTCCCGGTCTCTTACATATCGTTATAGAGAGAGAAAGAGAGAGAGAGGGGGGGGAGAGAGAGAGAGGGGGAGAGAGAGAGATGGAGGGAGAGGGAGAGAGAGAGAGGACAGTACTTATTATAAATTCCTGAATATATTTTGAGTTTGGTATTTCTGAATATTAAAATGTGTCTTTTGTATTGGATTTTTCAAGAAAGTACGAAAATACAATAAAAATATTGTTCTGGAGCTATTTTCTTGTAGCATTTTCATATGATTTACTATTTTTATTGGGAATTAACCACAATTTCAGTTTAAAATACATCTATTTTGACGACTCGATGTCCACGTCGGAAATAAAAATAGTAGATAATATAAAAATACGTTAAAAAATAGATTTAATAAACAGAGATGAAAATTATGTCTATCGCGGTGATTTTTCCCAATTATATTATTAAAACTTTGAAACGTATCCAATGAAGGGTGATAAATATCGATAACACCTTTGCTCGCTGTTGTAGGGAAGCAAAAAGTATAATTTCAATTCCAACTTCCATTTGCCTTTCTTAAATACTTCGGCCATTTACAGACTCTCAATACATTAATAAACAGATTTTAATAACACTTACAGGAACCAAAGACTACTAGATACTACAAAATTCCTGAAGTTGATACTGAGCTTCCATTCATTTCGTTGTTAGGAACAGTCCGGGTGAATCGTGGCGAAAATACGTAATTCGCGCAACCGGCCACAATTTTATAATTTGCGTTTGTATTGTTGAGCATATTTGAAAGCACATTAGATAGCTAATTGTTCACCAGTGTGGATACTATACCAAGGAGAAGTTTTATAGAGTTGAATAGGCTGTTGTAAAGTGGTTACTTTCAGTCTTTGACGTATCAGTGTAAATAACTATGTTATATTTATTTTTTTTTGGCAGTTCCAGAAAGAGATTTCTTAATGTATTAACACTGGTATGCTTGACAAATGGGTACAGTTCAAGCAGGCATCAGAAATTTTATTTACGCGTAAACTTCAGGATGACTGCACCAAATTGGATAATTCTTTTTTTGTTGTATTTGTTATTATCAGGATAAGGTTTGCGTAGAAGATAATTTTCAAAAAATTGTACGGAAAAACATAAAAACAGTTTTTCTGTTTTTCGTCATTTTAAATCGCAAGATAACTAATAGATGGCGCCACACTATGATCGGGTCAGCTAGTTTCTTATATAAATGCACATACTTCCCTAGCTTCCTTACAAACAAGATTGCTTTTTTGCTTAGCAAAGATACTATTTACAGATTTTATCACAATAATGGCATATAACACGTTTTAAACTTTTTCTACTTAAATAAAAATATCTATTAAAAGTAACCTTCGGCTATACCACCTTTACAAGGCAAAATCTTACACCTGATGATCGATGAGAGGTACGTCAACTTTCTTTGGCACCGAACTGCACGGAAGCAGCCACATTAGCGGGTGTTCCTTGCCGCAAACTTCACCCAACAGCGCCATCTTAGGTTTGTAAGGCCTATACGGACCCTGTTTTTGGATTTGCTCTACAGCCGTTTCGTCCGTAAGTATGGCCTGCAACTGGTCGATCAGTATGGCTGCGACAAAGAGGCCGAATAAGGCGCTCTCTAACAGGAGTATTATGCTGTGTAATCTAAAATTTCGGACATGAATTTATTATTTTTAAGTCAAAGGAGATATTATCTATTATTTTAAGATAAAGTAGATATTTATAAAACAAATGACGGTATTATATTTTGATTTGATACAGAGCAGCAACAAGCCGCATATACGTATTTCGATCTCTTTAGATCTCCTCAGTACGGTATAGTTACTACTCCATATCAAACCAAAATATTTTCCCGTCGTAGATTATAATTATTAAAAATAACTATTTACGGACGTAACTACGCCATCTAAGAACAAAAAGAGAAATCATACGATTTCTACCTGGCAAAATCGAATTCAAATATAGGCCGCCGTGCTCCCTAAGACTTGCGAAGCAAACAGCTTGATGAATGCATCGGCAAGGGAGTCTAAAAATTGCACTCCAAATGCCGTTCATCATGGCCTATATTCGTAGTGAATTCGATTTCGCCAGGTAGAAATCGTATGATTTCTCTTTTTGTTCTTAGATGGCGTAGTTACGTCCGTAAATAGTTATTTTTAATAACTATAATCTACGACGGGAAAATATTTTGGTTTGATATGGAGTAGTAACTATACCGTACTGAGGAGATCTAAAGAGATCGAAATACGTATATGCGGCTTGTTGCTGCTCTGTATCAAATCAAAATATAATACCGTCATTTGTTTTGTTTATTTACTTCATTTGGAGTACCAGAAATCGAATTCACTACGAATATAGGCCATGATGAACGGCATTTGGAGTGCAATTTTTAGACTCCCTTGCCGATGCATTCATCAAGCTGTTTGCTTCGCAAGTCTTAGGGAGCACGGCGGCCTATATTTGAATTCGATTTCGCCAGGTAGAAATCCTATGATTTCTCTTTTTGTTGGATATTTATAATTTGCCAAAATATTAAAAATACTGAAAGCGGTAAATATTTGAAGAATATCAATTTAAGGAAAAAACAGTTAAGATTTGATTTCACGTATAGTGCGTCTGTGTATCGGCTTATACGTATTTCGCCATAAAATGGCTCTTTAGAACGTCCATTCAGAGTCGCTCTGAACGTGAAAATAAATCTCTTCTGTGTTAGGAAGGAAGATTTTTGCTTTAATCTCTGCTTTCTAAGAATCGCAAGGCAAAACAGACATTGATAAAGATGTTATTAGAGACATGGGGAATCTAAAATTGCATTCCATAACATATCTCCACATCTAAGCAAAAATCCTTGGCGAATTGTTTCTAGTACTCGTCAGAGTAGAATAGAATAGAATAGAATAGAAATATGCTTTATTGTCACTGAAAATTATTGAACAATTTTATGGACAAAGCTAAAAAATAAATCAGTCAAATAATACAAAAAGTATAAAACAAAAACAATATAGTAAAAAACAAAATAACACAATTTTAAATTAGTAAAATTATTGTATAACCTACATAATTTGTACAAACAACAACAAATGAGACAAATTGTAGCCACTGCTTGAGACACCCAAATGTAATTATAAACAATACTAATTTTGTTTCTTTGTTATACATTAAGAAACTCGTCAACTGAGTAATATGGTCTTTCTGAGAGATAGATTTTTGTCACCTTACGAAACTTAATGAAGGATGTTGCGGATTTAATTTCTCTTGGAAGGTGATTATAAAGTTTCTTTGCACGATATAGAATAGAATTCTTTACTAGCTGAGTGGACGGGATCGGCAAATAAACGTTACAATCCGAATTTCTAATGGAGTAGCCATGGTCAGGTCTATCGGGAAAAATGTTTAGATGCTTTCGAATCAAACAAACCGTTTCCAAAATAAATAAAGAGGGAAGCGTCAGAGTATATCGAAATAAAAGGAAAAGGAATATAATAGGAACAGAGTATATCGGAATAAAATTCTGCCTTAGGAAGCAACTATAACATGTCTTCGTATGGACTCAAATAGCGACATCTGTTAGAGTTCCTTCCTAAGACAGAAGAGATTTATTTTCACGTTCAGAGCCACTGTGAATATCCGTTCTGAAGAGCCATTTTAGGGCGAAATACGATATTCCGATATACTCTGTACGAGTACTAGAAACCAATATAGCTAAGGATTTTTGCTTTGCTGAGGAGATATGTTGTGGAATGTAATTTTTAGATTCTCCATGTTTCTAATAACATCTTTATCAACATCTGTTTTGCCTTGCAATTCTTAAAAGGCCCAGATTAAAGCAAAAATCTTAATCTGGTTTCGAAAATTAGTTTACGGATTTAATATCAATTTAATTTAAAATACTGATTGGTAACTAAAAAAAAAACAAGGAAAACATTTTACCTTCTGAACATTATCAGTGACCACTTTTATAGATATTATTTTATAGTGCTCAATCATAAAGCAATGAATATTGTCAAAAACCCGTGTGTATGTTATTTGGTAATAATATCTTTTGACGATTTACTTTCCGAGTAGTTGGTCTCCACGAACCACTTGAAGTAGGAAATAAGCAGGAGGCATTCGTTGGCATTTACGTCTTCGAGTTTCCTTCAGGCGAGTGTCTGACGAAGCAGGGATGGTGAAATGACGATATTACACTCTATTGATACCGATTCCAACATGAAACACTTCAAACTCAATAAGAAGTGTTTTCTTTTAATTTTTAAATGTTCGCGGCATCTGCCATCTCTTCCCACCTGTTGAGTTCGTTGTTTTCCCTTCTGCGCCGGATTTAATATCGAAGACATGCCTTAATCTCTCAAGAGCTTTTTAACAGGTAATTAAATTGTTTTTTTAATAACCATTAAATAATTTTACTATGAAATGATTTTGTGTGTTTAACTACATTGGTTATCAATTTAACTTTAAAATAGAAACGTGCTTCGTGTGTCGGTGTCATTACTTGTGTTTTATCTCTTCAAATAATTGCCAGGCGACTTATTTTCAAGTTTCATTTAGCATTTAAAGCTATTTAAATACTTCAAATATAGTTGTTGAAATCTGTTATGCATGGATTAAGTAAGTTATTGTAATCCTGCTAATTCTTGATTTTATGACCAATTCTTTGTAACACTGGTAGCTGTAATTACCATCGATATTGTCACGTCACCACTAATGGGAAAAAATTATTAAAACTCTAAACTCTAAACATCAATCAAAAACATATACTTACATTCTAGTTTCTTTTAATGGAATATCTTCACTACAGTCTTTACATTCTTTCATCCAAGATATGGCTACTAAAGCTATAGCGTAAACAGATAATGTTCCTAAAAAAACAAAAAAAAATTATAGAATATTTTTATGTACGTAAAATGTTATAAGGAGTTATACTACTTTGTCGCATAGAAAATTACACTGAACACAATACTGATACTAAAGTGTTAAGTAGTTAATCACAGAAACTTTATTCTGTTCTTTTTACAAATGAACTCAAAAATCACGGTCACCAAAAGTTTCTACTACATTGCAATGTTATGAAAACAACAAATTTGTCAGTAAATACTTGATTTTGTTTTTTCAAAAATGCCGTTTTGTTACTGTACTGTTCTTGCAGTTAGTTAGTGAGTTGTTAGTTTAACAAAAAAAAACATAAACTTTCATTACAAAGAAAAATCAAAATTTTGTTTTTCCGATGTTTATACACCTTCCCGTAAAAACGGTACGCCACTGGCGAATTGGAAACTTTCTAAACGTGTCCATTCTAATCGACACTTTAAGCAAATGCTACTTCGTGGGCCGTTATATATCCTAAACTGTAACGTTATTGTTAATATTCTGTGTAATTAAAATTGATGAGTATATATTTGGCTAACACAATCCTGTAGCTGTCATATTTGTCCAGAATGTGGGTTTTCATCAGCGGCCACGCTTTTCGTACAGACAGATTTGACAATGATGTATAATATATATTATACGTCATAAGTCATATCTACTGGTTTAAAAAAAATTATTAAATAAATACTTTTTAATAAAGAAATGACATTGTTTATAAAGAAATAAGGGCTTAAGAAAATTTATAAAATACTCCATAATGACATCGCTTTGTTGTTCATTTTCGTACAGATGTCATTATAAAAATGAATTAAAAACATTGATTTGCTAATTGAGACACTTTTTCATTATATTCGTATTTATTTGACTTTTTCAATAGCTAGACTTTCTTGGGTATTTTTTATCTTAATTATGTGTTCACATGCTCTTTATTGACAACAGAAACTGGAACAACAAGAAAAAAGAGAAATATGGAACATAGAACCCTACAAACACCAAATAAAGAACTGGATTATCAAGTGGCAATAAGCAATAGATTTCAATTGTTGGGAGAGCAAGAGCATAATGTAGAGCTAGAACAAGCATGGCAGCAAGTGGCATCAGTTATAGAACAAGCGGCCAAGGAAACCATTGGAAAAAAGAGGATTCGCCCAAAACGGAAATGGTTTGACAAAGCATGCGAGGAAATTCTGGAAATAAAAACGAAAAAAGATTGAAAATGCTATAAGACCCCACAGATGAGAACAAAGCAGATTTTAACAGAACAAGAGCACAAACAAGGCGACTATTCAGAACTAAAAAGAGGAGCTATCTAGAACAGCAAATCCAGGAAATTGAGAGAAGTGGCGAGAGGAATCAAATAAGGAAATTCTTTAGTGAAGTGAAGTCAGTCAGATAAGGTGCAAGTGTTGGAGTAACACAGTCTATGAGAAATGAAGCAGGAGAACTTATAATGATAGAAACGGAGATCGTCGAACGATGGAAGGAATACTTTGAGAATTTACTAAATATTGAAAGTGAGACGGAGGAAGCAGATATTACGTTTCATTCTGCAAATATCGATATACCAGCACCAACACTTGTGATCGCGTCTCTAGGAGACCATAAAGCACCAGAAATGATGGCATAAATGGAGAGTTGTTAAAAAAAGGAGGAAACCTTTTACACCAAAAATTGTCTGATATTCTGAGAGTATGGCAATAACAGAAAATGCCTAGAGAATGGAATGGAAGCGTTATAATTCCCATATATAAGAAAGGAAACAAAGAACAATTCCGAAACTATAGAGGCATGTCGCTAATTAGCACATCATATAAAGTGCTATCAATTATCTTGCTAAAGAGACCATATTCGGAAGATATTCTAGGCGACTACCAACGCAGCTTGTGTGATGGAAGGTCAACTATAGATCAGATATTTACTATCCGACAAATATTAGAGAAAAACTGGGAATTCAACCGCGGTGTGCACCAAATTTTCATAGATTTCCAGCAAGCATATGATTCCATAAAAAGAAGCAAATTGTGGATGGCAATGTTAGAAATGGGAATACCAAGAAAATTAGTTAAATGAACGCAAATGTGCGTGACAGACTTATATGCGCAAGAAAAGATAGAAAACAGAACATCGATGCCATTTGGTATACATTCAGGACATAGGCAGGGGGACCCCTTGTCACCGTTGCTGTTCAATTTTGCTATAGAATATGCAATATGCAATAAGACAAGTCAGTCTTCATATCTTGAACTAATGGCAGACCATATAACAGATGTTTCTACACAATCTCAGACGGTTTTCGTTCTTATTTCCTTTTTTGGTGGGAAAATACACTAGAGATTTTGGGGTTTTTCAAATTCTGAAAGTCTGGATGCTGATGGGATGCGAATTAATGTAGGTTCTTCTCCTGTAAAAACAGGATTGAGTTTCACTTTAAATAGTAGGCTTTTGGTAATTACCTATTTATTTTCTATATCTCGAATCAGCGCCCCATGAAATAAAATTATCACCAGCCGTCACTGATTATAAGATAATTCTTTTTTTTTTAAGTTTCATTTTGGATTATATAGTATTAAATTATTTTAAGCTCTTTATTGTAGTAAATGAATTGATTATAAGGTAACCTACCTACATATATTAAAAACTGAAGAAAAAACTTTTGATTTCTCTCTCCCACACAATTGTTTATCCAAGGACAATGGTGATCCATTTTCCTAATACACCTTTGGCAAATTCTACAATGGTGTGCTCTTGGAGGTCTGTAAGTTTCGCATCGAGCACACACTGTCCAATTTACAAATTCACAGCCTAAAACACATGATTGAAAGAAGAAATAAATGCATAAATATACAAAAAGTTAATCCTACAAATTGATTACTTATTAATTTTTAATTTCTACTTTTCATATTCGAACTAATTACTTCATCAATCTAAGTTCTCGTTTATTTTCAATAATTGTTTATATTTTAATAATTACCCCAATGTTTTTATTACTTTTTTCTATTTCTATGTTATTCTATTATCACGTGATGCAACCTGGGAAACATGATTATATCACGGCTAAATAGTCTACTAAGTTCGCTGCCAGACTATCCTATAGGATCTTCTGGTTATTATATGATATTATATCATGATATTGTATAAATATTACATAATAATTTGAATAAGATATCAAGGACTCAAAGAAGTCAACAAATAAGTGTTAACATGGTATCGAATGTTATTTTCGAATGAGACAGACAGAATTTTGCCACTTAATTCAAAACAAAATACATATTTGACTAAAAATTGAATTGCCTGTTGGGAAAAGAATATTTTATATGTATATAAGTTCGCTAAAAATTGTTCATTTTAAGGCCTAGTTAATGATTGCCTAAAAATATTAATGCATAACAGTAACTTACCAGAATCAGAATGCATATCTGAGAAGTCTATCCTACCCTGTGGAAGAGGAACAGTTCCAGGATCTGTTACTACAGCTTTGATATGTGATATTATTAAAAAGAATATTATGGTGTTGAACATAACCACATTAAAAGTGCCCCATAAGCTACAAAAGAAAAATATCACTAAGCATTTATGATATGATATCTAAGTATGAAAAGTAGCAAAAAGTAAATGACAAAAAGTAGTTTGATAGTAAATGACAAAAAGTATTTCTGGGTACACCAATACTTGGTGTATCCAGAAATACTTTAACAAGAAACACGAATCTACTAAAACCATGCTTTAATTTCAGATTTGACACAAAAAGTTATCTTTATTTTCTGTCTATTAACATCTAAGTTTCATGAATGAGATGTCTAGTTTTTGGAAGTATTTTACACTGCACAATGTAAAAACACAGATTCAATATGTGGTTGATGTAAAAAAGCATTTTTCGACATTATTTATTATCAAGCTTAATCTGAATAATACACAAAGTGTTCTGAAAAGAATCAACAGGTTATCAGAAATTAATCTTTAAAACATCTATCAATTTAAGGCAGCAGTTACCAAAAGGTATCATGCGAAACCTTTTGGTTCTGTGGAAGATTACAGGAATTAGAACACGACGTAATAGAAAATCCAAGCACATATTGACATTCTATGGATATTTGTTGCATACTTATATCACATTAATTCATTAGGCATAATTAGAACATATAAATAAAAGTAATTATGGATAAAATTCGGCTTGACTGACTAATATGGCAATCTAGCTTTTAAGGATAGAGTTACAGCTCTATTATTAGGGCAGCAGTTATTACTAAAAAAGAATTAAGAAAATGGTCCTAGAGTAATGTAGTTTGGTAATGTATAAGTATGCTTGGAACAATTCTAACAGGTATGATACTGCTATGAAGAAGGCAGTAAAAGCTAACTTTTATACATCCTATTTTAAAACAAATAATAGTTAAGCTAAATTTATAAAGACCCTCAGTACCCAACACTCCCAACAAAACTTACATTATAGTAATAGGGTTTTAAAAGGCCAATGTGTCCAAAGGATTGGGCGATAGAAGAAGAATAGAGATATTTTCTCATCCTTGCTATAAGGTTCAGGACTTACACACAAAAAATAACGAAATAGACTCAATGCATTTGATATGTGGTGTTACTAGTATATGGTAGGAATAGTATGGACTGTCTGATGTACCTACATAAAACTGTATTACAAATATTGTTCTGAAGATTTTTTATTTTGAGGATGATTTCCGAAGTGGACATTGAAACATCAATAAACTTCAATTATGGCTAATTCCCATTAAAATAGTGAAACTTGAATGTCTTAGACATATTGTGAGAGAAACTGTTATGTAATAAATAAAAAGTTAATAACTTTTTAGAGCTACTGCAAATGAAATTAATGTAGAAATATTGACCTCCAAACTCTGTCAAGGAGATGGAACCTAAAGAATAAAGATCACCCAAATTCTTTGACTATTTAACAATAAACCACTGAATACGCTTGTTTTCAAAATTTTCAAAAAATTTATTATATTATCTTATCACTACAGCTGTTTCTGCAGAGTCCCTTTCTCAAGTGATCTATTTTTGGTACCTGTTTGCCTTTAGTCTTTAACTGAATAGGTTGAGGAGAGAAAACTGTTTGTCTCAAGTTGCTTATTCAGAATTGTCTGTATTTTTTAATTTGGTAATTTCCATAGATTCAAATAAAGGCTTTAGATAGCGTAAGGACTTTATTTTGGTTGTGAAGAATTTGAAATTCGTCATAAAAAGAATGACTATGGTGTAGAAGGTAAAGTGCATACATAGAATCTGTTTTCCTACGAAAGAGTTTTCTACTTTTTGTATGATTTGTAGATTAAGTTGTATTAAATGGTCTCCTTGGTCAGCTGATTTGAATCCTAAAGATTATTTTTATTGCGGATACTTGAAAAATAGAATTTGCAGAGCTAATGCAAAGAATTATCGATGAATCCAAATTAATTTCTAGAGAAACATGGAAAAATGTAACAGATGCATTCCACCATCGTTTAGGATACTGTCAATTTAACAATGGGGGACATTTTGAACAACTGGTTATGTACACTTTAATTTATCAATGTAGTAAACTTTGAATTGTTATCTTCAAATTTAGTTTTACATAGACAAAATTTATTGAGACGATTAGGGGTCAGTTGTTTGAACGCTAATCAAAACTTGATTGTAATAAAATTTAATTAAAATCAAATATGTCACATTTTAGGATATGTTGACTGATTTATTTTATTCAATATTATTATTTTGCGTTTTAATTTAAAATAAACCATAATTAAACTCTTTCTGATGTTAATTTCATGTTTTTATTTACAATTCAATAATAATAATAAGCAATTTTTTTGACAGCCGCTGTGACATATTTGCTTGTAATTAAATATTTGATTACAATCAAGTTTTGATTAGCGTTCGAACAACCGGCCCTTAGTGTCTCTAGGCTTTTAATTGTTTTATATTTTTAAGATGTTCCTGACTGGATAAAATACCAAGTGTTACATATGGTTGAATTTGTATTGAAGTGAGGATTCAGTATTCAATATAATTTAATAATAGAATATACAGAGATATCAGAAAAATAGTAAATCTGGCAACATTGCAAGCATGAAATTTAAAATCTCCATATTGCAGGACCATCGGTTTAAAAGATAATTGGGTGTTTCCAAACTTTGGTCCACTGAGTATAATAGCTTATGTACATTTTAATTTTTGTATTTTTGTCAACTCATTAATTTAAATTTAGAATAAATATTTGGAAGTCATGACTTAGCTATTGAAATTGTAAAGTAGTTGCCATTAAAACTAATCATATCCAAGGTCATTAGATAACATTTAGTGAAGACAAAGTAAATATTAAGAAACAACTATCCAAATAAAATCAATAATTACAATATACTCAAACCCACTTAGTCACTACTTAAGTTTCAAGTTTCAAGCTACAATTTGAAGTTAATATCATTCTCAAAACTATAAAAAGGTGACCATTTGAATCTAATCTTTAATATTTTTATTCCCGTAAATAATATGAAAAATCAGTGACAGGTCAATATTTTTTTTATTTTCAAAAGAGACTTTCATCCTTTACAAATTTCAATATAATTAGAGATTAATAATTGTAAAGTTATTGATAGAGAACCTTCATGACAGAACCTGTCTTCTGACATCCCTCTTTTTATAAGCTTTATATTAGGTTGGCTAGGTGCTGTTTTTTCAACTTTATGTTATGGAAAGGAATCTTGGACATTGAATGCGACATCAATGCAAAAACTGGAATCATTCGAGCTGTGGGTGTACAGAAGAATATTGAAAATATCGTGGACAGAACATGTCACAAACAAAGAAGTTCTTGGAAGAATGAATAAAGAAATGGAAATTTTAAACACAGTAAAAACAAGAAAATTAGAATATCTCAGACATATTACATGTGAAGTGAAATACACAATTGATTACGCAGGGAAAGATACAAGGAAAGAGAAGCATAGGGAGGCGTAGAATGTCATGGCTGTGCAACTTGAGTGAGAATGTGAAGAATTTTAAATTTGTCGTTAAAAGAATGATTCTTAATTGATGAATTAAAATTCTTCACATTCAAAATAAAGGCCTTAAGCTATCCTTGTTAGAATCTATGGAAATCAACAAATTAAAAAACACATATAATTCTGAATGACCAACTCGAGACAAACAATTCTCCCCTCCTCAACCTATTTCATTAGAGACTATAAAGTGTAAACGCATGCCAAAAATAGATCACTTGAGAAAGGCAATCAGCTGAAACAGATGTAGTCATAATAGTTAAGATAAAATTTTTGTGGAAGTTTGAAAACAAAGTTTTATTGTTAGATAAAATGAATTTCCATCAAGTAACGGTCGAATCCATCAACTAATAATGATTTAATTGTGAAAGTTTCTTACATGTATTCACATTTCATTTCATTTCACATTTCATGCAAATAAAAATCAATGGTCATAATATAGTATGCAGTTGATATGTCTAATGTAGCAGATTGATTCGACAATGTTTAAGTTTAGAGTATATAATGGGATAATGGGATAATGGGAAAGTGAAAAATACAATATGATTTAATTTGTTAAAAAAACAAAACTGGAATAGTTACAAAAAACAACAAAATTTTGTTGTATAATAACATATAATAATAAATAACATTTAACAATACAGGAAAAAAATTGAACATTTATAAAAATATTAAGGTCTTTCCATCAATTGTAACCGGCGATAATGAGTTTATATTCGACTATAGCAAGACTCTACAAACAACAAGAGCCACATATACCAGAATACAAAAAGTATGCAAATATATAAATTTGAAATTAAGTTAAATAATTTGACTAAATTGTGTAAATTTAAAATGTAAATATATACACTTGCAATACATTGAACTTTATTAATTATTTATATATCAGCTAAGTAATAGATAAACTTACCTGTCGAGCATTGTTTGAAGAACAACCCATTTAATAACCACATAATCTGCATAAAAGACAGCTATGTATGTTATCAAAATACATACTATTCCACAGGGATCCTTAATAAACATTATAACAAATAATTTATAATTTAAAATGCGTCTTATTAAAGCTTACAGAAGATAAAACAGGAGGTAAATATTTGTTCATTCTAGTTAAAATAAAAATTACATTTTATGTTATTCACTTATTATTGACAACATTGACATGACAACACCTGACTAAACAGCAGATTGAATATTGAATGATTGAAATTGAATTCAGAATTGGTTTGGTTGACAGCTTATTACATATATGTTTTGTGGTTGACAGTGACAACTAGGCACATTTTCGCGAGAGTATATTTCAAAAATAATATAAAATTCTTTCTGTGATTTCAAAAAAGCTATCAAATAAAAATGAAATATAAGAGCACAATTTCTACAGAGAGGCAAAAATGGTTCAATAAACCGTTAATAAATTTTATTGTTTTAAACTATGATACTGATCGTCTCTTGTCACGGTATTGAAGTATGTTTTTATCTTGTTTTAACTAACGGGAATTTTTATTTGGCGACAATAAATAGTAGCAACATTGATGATACAATCAATGACCTTTATGATATTATCAAAGCGACTTACTTTAACAACACAAACTTTCTAATTGTTTATTAAGAAAATATCTATTTTATGAGTAAATCATGAAAAAAATAAAACAATATTTTCATGGATTTAATTAAATTTTTGTTTGGTTTTATATTTGAATTTAAAAGGTATCTTTTGGATTATTCCCTTCCCATTTTCAATTTAGATTATTGAAAAAAATAACCGGTAGATTACTAGCTCCGTAGAAAAACAATAAAAAAATACTTATACCACTGTTCATGGGTTCATGTCACAAAAATTTTTCAGATGTAGCGTCAGCAATAGAAATTATATAATAATTGCACAATCTACGGCAAATAGAAAGTGTGACAGACCAAAGTTTGTTTGAATATAAAGTGAAACGCAGTATTTGAATATGTTTCATATTCTTAATTAGCGTAATTGTGTAAGATTGTAGCACGAATTTAAACATATTTGTATAGGATCACGAGCTTAATTGTAAACATAAAGGCATTCGGCACTTTTTTAACAAAATCTTATTTGTACGCTACCTTTTAACTTTAGGTAATGTTCAATCTCTTAGGCAATGTCTAAAGACACATAACGAATTGATGCTACGAAAATCAAAATAGCTATTACCCACCTGGTATATAAAAGCAAAACAGCTTATATCATTTTATTGCTACTATTTTATTAAACAAAAGTACATAAATTACATATAAATAAAAACACACTGTCCACTAAAATTCTACACACAAATATAGATAATATCAAAAGGTTCAGCCTATATTATAAACAATTTTAATTGTTCATTTTCTCATGAATCGAGTATTTTCAATACCACAGATTACCCAATACTGTTTAGAAGTCATTCATAATTTCACCTTCATCTTTTCTGTTGATCGGATCTCCTTGCAGGAGAGAAGTTATTAAACTAAAAGAGGAAATATATGAAAATATAATAAGTAATCATACTAGTAACACACACACATACTATACATTGCATGCAAACTCTCTTCATCCCCTTCACAAATTAGTACAGTCATTAATACACTTGTCTTCAGATCAATACAACTTTGAGATGATACATGTAGACCCCCTAGGGTTCTCTAGTTCAGTGTTTCTCAAAGTGGGGACCCTGGGGGTCGCCATGAGGTACTAGGGGGGTCGCCGAACATTTCCAAAATAAGACAAAAGCATCACTTTGTTAGATCATGTATTTTTATTTTAACAACGCCGTAAATAGAAATTAACAATTAATTATCAGACAAAATATAAAACTAAATATTAAAGTCCGTAAAAATAAAAGAGTAAAACAAAGTCAAATATTATAATCTTAATGACAGCTATGCGCCTGTTTCTGTGAAACTAATCTTTCAAATCTAGGCTCTGTATTTGAGACACACACAATTATATCATTTTCAAGTACGAGACGATTTTTAACTCTTGGCAGTAATAGACGAGAAACTTAACTCACACAAATGGAACCAAACATTTTACAGCTTCACTCGCCAACTGGGGGTATTCCTGCATCTTTTCGGTCCAAAATTGGTCCGAGTTCTGGGAAAAAAATTGGAGCTTTCACTTGATATTTCAAAAAGGTTTTATTTCATGTTTATTGGTATTACAACATTCTGAAAGGAATCGGCTAAAACCGGATTTAGTATCCATCTGCAACTGTCGTAACTGTTTTGAATTTCTTCGGCGAAATAATCACAGAGCTGTTGTTTTACATTGAGCAAAGTAACATCAGCAAAAACTTGCTCAAAATTTGTAGCACTGTAATTGGATATATTTTCCATAATTTCCTGAAGGCACTGGAATGAATAGAGTTGTTTTTTGCCAAGTGAGGTCGACCATAAATCGATTTTTCTTAGAAACGAACTAATTTTATCTGTGGCTGTAATTATATTAATGTCGCGACCTTGTAAATTACTGTTCAAAATATTTAATTGCTCGAAAATATTAGCAAGGGAACCTAGTTTCAGAAGCCAAATAAGATCGGAAAATTGATATTCATATGGGGACTTCTCATCTTTCAAATACATTAAAAGCTCTGCTCTTAAGTGAAATACTCTTTTTCTTTTTCTACTTCGGTGTGATAGATAAGATTTTCAAATAAAGCACCCATGTCTTCGCAAATTTTTCTAAAAATACGGGTCTGCAAAGCTTTTCCTGTAATGGAATTTACAACTTTAATGATGGTTTTCATAACACAGTCCATTTCAGGAGGTAAAGCTTTGGACGCAAGAGCTTCTCGATGTAAAAAACAATGTCTCCATTTGGCATTAGGCATTATTTCTTGTAATTTGACGACAAGACCAGATTTATGTCCTGTCATGCTTTAGCGCCATCTGTGCATATATCAATACATTTACCCCAGTCAATATCATATTTACTTGTATGTTTCACAAAGTGTCGAGTAAACATTTTCCAGTAGTATTGGTCGCCATCTGTGCATATAGCAATACATTTACCCCAGTCAATATCATATTTACTTGTATGTTTCACAAAAGTGTCGAGTAAACATTTTCCAGTGGTATTGGTCTCCAATGGGGAACAAAATAAAATATCTTCTTGAATGCCATTATTTGTATCATATCTTACAAACATAATGAATTGGGCACAGTTAGATATATCTGTGGATTCATCCATTTGAAGAGAGAAGTACGTGCATTTATTAAGATTTTCCACAACTTGCGCTTGAATATCTTCTGCCATATCACTAATTCTTCTTTGGATACTATTATTTGACAGAAGTATTGTATTTAATTTTGCAGCCTCTCTTTCCCCACACATTATATGTACCATTTCAACAGCTGCTGGAAAAATCAGATTTTCAGCAATTGTGTGCGGATTACTAGTTTTGGCAACACGATAAGCAACTTTATAATTTGCTAATAATGCTTTTTCATTAGTAGTGGTTGCCAAGGGAAAATTGTCTTGCTGTTTGTGAAGGACGTTCAGCTTTCTTTCAAAGAATTCTACGGGCTTGTCTTTTTTATCTGGATGTTTGCTATTTAAATGTCGAAGTAATTTTGATGGCTTCATGCTTTCTTTTGACAAGACTTGTCCACAAATAACATATTGTGGTTTATTTTAAATAAAGGTAAAACCATATTTAAGATATTCATCAATGTAGAATCTGTTTTTCTTTTTATTGCTGCTACTGCCACTTTCAGACGTAGATGGTTCTGCACTTCTTTTTAAAAACTTATCCATAATTTATAATTTATCATAGACGTAAATACGTAAACGGGAATACGCAAGTCGTAAAATATTTACTCATTACTCAACACCGCGTTCGCCACCATAGGCTATTTGGATTCGAACTGAGGTTTCGTTGCGCATCGCCGCTTATATAAAGCCAAAACGAGGCTACGAGAACGTTCCAGAGTGCCATCTAGTAGCGAGCGCTTTCGCGATTATCATCGAAGAGTTTTGCGATGTAGACACAAGCTAATATCTCGCGGTGTACAATGTGCAGTCGACTTCTTATTATTTATTTTTATTGTAAATATTATCCTGGCAGAAGTACCTACTACTAATTACTAGTGGGACAGATCGCAATCATTAAAATAATTGTATTAAAATAAAATAATTGTTTTTGATTTAAACTTAAACAGTAAAGTAAAATTAAATTTGAGAAACCATCAGATAATTGTAAATTAGGCACGCTATTTCTGTCAAATAATATTGAATAAATGAGTGGGGGGAAATTGGAGGGTCGCGAACACATTTTTTAGCAAAAAGGGTTCGCGGTTTAGATAAGTTTGGGAAGCTCTGCTCTAGTTTAAAACAAGCCCTCATCCAAAACATTTACTGTAAAAATCACATCAATAGGAGCATCCACAGACATTAATCTCAACCCAAAGACTCAGATCCTTATCATATGAAAGCTTTTTTTTACATCAAAGATTTTGTCACTGACAAAATTCTAAAACCAAGAAGAATAAAGACAATATTTATCCACCAACAAAAACTTTCATCTCTTGTCCAATCAATCAAAATATCAAAGTAAGTACCAACATTTAAGGCTACAGAATATGCGAGAGAGTGAAGTGCTACATACCTTTGTTGGAATTCAGTTTAGTATCATAAAAACAACATACAGAAACTAAAGGGAAGGATAATTCATGTAGCAAATATGACTAACAAAATCATTGCTAAACTACATATTTTTTACAGATACATTTATGATTTCTGAGGGTTCTGTGAAGTATTTATACTTATTATCTCACACACAGTTAATATCAATATGTTCAGGAAAAAATACTTACCAATATAAATACAAAAAGAAGAATAATAAGTAGTATCCTAAATAAATCATACAATCTCTCATATGCCTCTTTATTTGACCTCGATTATGTATTTCAATCGCATCATAGACACCTAAATTTCCTCTGGGCACAGTATATATTTCATATATAAGCCAGAAAGTCATTGGCAAATTTAGGGACATCAATATCCAGTGCCCATGTATCAAAAGAAGGACACTTAAAAATGTGTGAGCTATAAATTTTGGCATTACCCATTGATTCAGTCTTGAACAACATTCTTGAGCATTCAGATAATCGCATTCGAGGTCCGATAATGTTATTACCTAGTTTAAAATGTTAAGGAAAAATACATGTTTATATTGTGATACATTAATGGTGAAAGTTAATGTCAAATATCTTTGAAAATATATTATGTAAAAAAACCACCAAAAAATTATGTAGTTGAACTCCAATGACAGCAGTAGAATCAAACTGTTGTTTTTTGTGTCTTAGGTACATAAAAAATTGTTTGATAAACTTTCACTTGTTTGAAATGGCCCTAATAACAATAAGAAATGTCTAAAAATAACTATGTACTAGATATGTAATAAAAAGAGATTAAACAAGAAAGTAAAACAAACATTAAAACATTGGCACTTACAAAATAAAACACATTTCTTGTAATAGAGCATGGATTCAAAATTTGCAAGGAATTATAGTGGATAATTAAAATAACGGTACCATTTCTTCTCTGAAATTTTAAGCTAATTTACAAACTCAAATAAAAATTGATCAAAACAAAACTACAATTAGATGTACTGTAATTAAACGAATATATTGCCTTCTAATAAGTACTTTGGCATTTTAAATTATAAAATTGCACAGTTTTAAAAAAGGATACAAAATATATCAATAAAAACAGAAGTGCTCCTGTATCTAAAAGTGATACGCAGAATAGCAATGAATCAGGTAAAATCATTTTCAATTAACATGAGATTATAAAATTTTCTTTTTCACTAGTAAATCCACAGTTTAATGCTAAAACTGTGACTAAACACTGTACTGAAATATATATTTGAAGACAGTAAACAAAATAAAATTACCCAATTAAGGTTATGCCACAAATGCCGTGCTCCGTGCTCTGTTTATTTCAGTATCTTTCATTTTTTGTAATAACAGGAACATAAATGGCAGATTGATATTCCCTCATTCGAAATACATTTATAACATTGAACGCAGATATAAAATATCGATTTACTTTATAAATTAGTTTGAAAAAGTCATACATTTAATATTTTAATAGGTCGTAAAAGATTTTTTTACGAGCTTACGTTTTTTTGAAACAATCTACACTGTTCACGTTCACGAAAAAATGTTCGAACCAATGAATGAAAAAGATAACAGCTGTCTGTCAATCTGTCATCCTGTTTTAATAATCAAATTTTTGACAAGTAAAAACAGATTTATCAATATTTATATTTCTATTGTGTTTTTAGATTTAGCATTCAAAATAAATAATGTGATATATCACCATGTGTGGTGAAGCGTGTATAGAATGTTTTTCTAGGTGGAGATTATGGATAAGGCCTCTTTTTATTCTTTTATATGCCTTAGCTGCTTTAGTCTTTGTACCATTATTTTTAGTTAAATCCTTGGAAGATGGTTTTAATAAACATGATCAAGAGATTCTTATAGGTGGTATTTTTGTATGGGTTGCCATTCCTTTATCTTTTTGGGAAATTATACAGCATGTCATACATTATGTTCAGCCTAGGCTACAGAAACATGTTATTAGGTAAGTCAAAATTTATTCTATGCTTATAATTTAGCAGAATTTCGCAATGAATATATTTCATTTTATTTAGAATTATTATTAGAATATCAGTATTTCAAATTCAGATTTTTAACAAACAATGAAGAAAAAATTCAGTGAATATATTTAATATGAATTATTTATCTGAAGAATGTTTCCTATTAAATCAATTTTTTGTAATCACTCATTTGTGTTTAGTATGATTTGTAACAAAATGGACTCTTGAATAAGGAATTAATATAAGTACTAAGCATAGTTTTTATGTATGAATCAAGATATGATTGTTCTTCATTCAGTTCAATTTAGACCAGAAAGTTCTGTAAAGCTTATTCAGGGCTCCTAACTATTAAAATTACAATGGCAACAGTATGGATTTTTGAGGATACCTCACTTCTTTAGACAGTCTCATATTATTTTGCTGTTCTTTTACTAGGGCGTGAATAATTCGAAAATCTATTTTTTCTGTTGATTTATTTATTTATCATTAACTTTAGTACAGCATATGTTTTACAAATACTTTTTGTAAAGGTTTTTAAGTCTTATACCTAATATTATAGTTTTTAGTAGTGCCACTTTTTTAATCTTATTTTTATTATTTGCTAATTGCCTATTAGTTATGTGGACATTCAAGTAAAGTACATGATTTTGGTATAGTGAGTAGTGATTCCCAATTCCCATACAACTTTAAGTTCAAAAACTAACTTTATAATTTGATTTCATATTTAAAAATATAGTTTATTTACAGGCAATTTACATATCTATCAAAACTCTAGTCAACATATAATTATCTGCTTTAGTATATCTCCTTCTAATATAGTCATACTACTGTTGTATTGTCCAGTCTGTAGGTATGTATTTATAGTACTTTATTCCATTCTTAGACATAGACTATTCTTTGTCTTCTTCACTGTTTCTCTCCAGTGCTGTTGTAATCTATGCCACTAAATTCTCTGCTTATTCCACCTCAGCCTGCATTTAAGCTTTGCCATTTTATCTTTATTTGGCAGAGAAGGATTATTTAGACTGAATAACAAGATTAACAAGATTAAAATAAAGCAAATTATAAACTAACAATAATAAGAGGATGCAAACTAAATGAATTTATCAATCAATGCAAAATATAACAGTAAATCACCATACTTTAACTTTACTAATCACATATTAAACTTACTTTGAATAATTGAACTAATACATTTATGTGTTGTGATGAAAGAATTAAAAAATATAATAAAAAATGTGTTAAAATCCAATTATAATTGCAATAAGAGCTTTCACTACATATTTCTTTTTATTACAGTTGTAGTACCTAATAAAGTAATAAAAAAGTGTAATATCACAGAAACCCGGCACACCTCTTTAGTGTTTACATTTCACGGAAACCCAACCCAAATGTGTGATGAACACATTTGGAGCATATTTATTTGTATGAGCGTTTGAGTAAAAACTTTTGTTATTTTCAGATTAAATTTCACAATAAATTTTGCATCCATCTGAACACTTATTAACTGAAATAATTTTAGTTTAGATGTCATACTAACAGTAGATCCTTTCTATTGGAATAATGATTAGACCAATTTACTTTCATACTTCTACTTGCACAGTAACATAATCGTTGTCGCAATAATCCAAAACAGTCATATATTCGTAACCTATACCTACTAGAAATCTAAAACGACCTCTTGAAACAAATTTTATTGTTACTGTATACATTTATCTTTAAGTGAATAAATATTTATGAGACACGTTATCACAAATCCAATTTACAAACAATATTATTTGTAAACAAATTAATGAATTTTTGTTAAGAAAAGTTGTTTATCTAAAATCAGGAAGACAATTTATAATATTATTACAAGGATCTTTGTAATAAAACACATAATTAATCATTTGAATACCAAGATAATTTGTTTTTTCTGTAATTAGGCTTATCAAATCAAATTAAATAAACTAAACATACTAAATATTAATGAATGAGATTACAGTGGTCATTTATATGTTGAGTGGTCATTATGAGATACACATATACTGTTTACAATAATGATCATCAACGCCTTATGAGTATACTTTATTAGTTATTACTAGAAGGTGGGCAGAACCGCCTTGCAATCTCTGTTATGCAGGACACCTCCAGCGTGGCCACGATGATATCCGAGGTCGCGCGCTAGGGTTGTTCGGTTACCATGGCCGTCAATGCCAGAGACCTACCTGCTAAAAAACACCCTTCTCAGCAGTGAATTACCAGCCGGATCGCCATTATTGAGTCGCAACATTGGCACGGCATTCACCCGATATCTCATTCACGCACAAAAACGGCATAGGTAGGAGTGGCTAACGATAATACCAATATGGCGGTGACATCAGGGCCAGACTCAATAATAATAAAACTACTATACAAATATGACTAGTTATTCAGAAGATTTAATCATAATCTAAAAAAGTGCAATACATTTTTAATAAACTATGATTTATTTATCCCGCGGTAAACACTAAAAACACGATATATTATATATAAAGATAAATTAATACAGTCAAATAGTATTAATTTATTCTCTGAAGTACGGGCCATTAGTTTGTTTACATATTTGTATACTAACCTGTGGAACGATATTCCTGAAGATTTTTTATTAACATTACTTCTGCTACTGCAACTACGTTGAGAACAAGAAACCATTATTATGCACTATCACAATATATTACAGTTTCTATAAAATTATTATAAAACTGAAAATATTCGAAAAACAACAAATATAACCAAACATATACGATCTGTCAAAAGTTTCAAAACAATAATACCAATATGGCCGAAGTTAGGTCGTTTTTAGTCACGTGATGCCCTCTCCATAGATTGTAACTCGATGGCTCATAGCTTCTCCATAGATTCTAACCCGATGCTATTTTGTTATAAAATAAAAATAAAAATTCAAAAAAACTCTTATAGCCAGGAACAAGTTTCTATATAATTGATTTATACCTAGAAATAAGCTGTTTATATGATGTCAAACCTCTATATTAATATAAAAATCCTTTCACTCTATTTATTTTCTTTGTGTATAAGAAAAATTAGAATCGTAAATAAAGCCCAAGTAACTAATAAAATAAGCAAAAACGACAATTAATTTCCTTGACATACATCAATTTGATCAATTCTACAGACACGGACTTTTTATTGTGTTAACTTTTTTTTATTGGTCGACTATTTTAAATGTGGTTCAGATACAATGTATTAAATGTGTATGCTCCGTTTTATTAAATATTTTCGGTGATACAATACAGCCTGAGATCTTAATACATGAGCCTACATGTACTGAGATCGAATGATTTCAGTACTGAACCAAATCGAATAGAGATGGATCGGAATAGAGTTGTACAACCAAGAAAGAAAAGTAAAGCCTTGTCTTAGATCAGATTTTGGTTAAATGGTTTGGAAAGAATGTTGTTGACTTTTATTTTTCCGAAATTTTTTTCGTATAGATTTTTATCCTCTATCTTAGAGACTTACGTATTTCAAATATTACTATACAAATATCTTTTATTGCAGAATATTATGGATGGTTCCAATCTATGCCATTAACGCAGTAAGTAAAACAATTTTTTGCCGATATTTTAACAAATTAACACGTCTCTGTTTAAGTGGTTGGGACTTATTTATCCAGAGCAATCAGTATATGTAGATAGTATAAGAGAATGCTACGAGGCCTTTGTCATCTATAACTTTATGAAATTTCTTTTAAATTATTTAAATATGGAAATGGATCTAGAAGCAAATTTGGAGCTAAAGCCGCAAGTAAAGCATATATTCCCTCTTTGTTGTTTGCCGGAATGGGAAATGGGCAGGTAATACCAAATTTACGGAATGTATTCAATGAATATCTGTGACCTATGTTTTTTAGGGAATTTGTTCATATTTGCAAGCATGGAATATTACAGTATACAGTAGTGAGGCCTTTAACTACAGCTATTTCTTTGTAAGTAATTGAATTAATTAATAACAATTTTGTCTATATTAGTAATAATAATTTTTGTTAGCCTGTCAGAAAATCTTGTTTATCTTCTATTTAATTTTTAATTGATATTTAAATTCACCTTGACAATAATATTATTTATTTAAGGTATTTAACAAATTACAAATAACTCTAACAGAAAACTAAATATTATTCAGGTCTATGCTCCAACAAGTGACAAAACAGACAAAGAAATCGAAAAAATATTTGTGCGACTGAAAAATAATGCGACTGACAAAAAGAGGTGAGATAACGATGATCATGGGCGACTTTAACGCTATAAATTGGTCGTGGTGCTGAAGGAGACCACATAGAAGCATACGGTCTAGGTACCAGGAATAATAGCGGAGATAGACTTGCACAATTCGGCGTAGAAAACAATCTATTAATAGCCAATACCTTCTTCAAAACAATATCCTAGTAGACTATACACATGAAAATCACCTGCAGACAGAAAAGACAGAATTATTAGACATCAAATTGACTTCATTTTGGTCAATAACACCTTTAAGAAGTACATACAATCTACGAAAACATACTCTAGAGCTGATATACATAGCGATCACAATCGAGTTATATTGGATTTTAGATTGAAAAGATTTCTTAAAGTCAAAAAGAAAATAGTGACAAGAAAAATAGACATTTCACAACTGAAGAACCCTGAACAGAAAAAATAAATAAGTATCAAGCTCGAGGAAGAAATAAAAACGATCGAAAACTCAAAAACAACAAAGATACAAGAAGTGACATCAGACTCATAAAACACAACAGAAAACAAGAATGGATAAAGCAAGAGATCGTGAACCTTATGGACGTAAGACGAAAAGATAAAACAAGCCCAATAGAATACAAGCGAATCAATAAAATCATTAGAAAAAAGTGCAGGGAAGGCGAAAGAAAACTGGATGTCAACAAAATGCCTAGAAATCGAACAACTTCAGGAAAAATACGACATCTTTAATATTATAAATAAAGAAATGACAGGTAGACACAAAAAGAGACAAGCAACAATATTAAAAAATGATAATAACGAAATAATTATGGGTACAGAAGACAAACTAGAGAGATGGAAAGAATACATACAAACTCTTGTTGACAACGATAGACCTTGTTCTTCACCATCCACAGATAATCGAATCAATGAAAAAGGCACATAAATAACCAAAGAAGAAGTATTCACGCAGTAAAATCTCAGAAAGATGGAATAGCTACACACCGGTCCAGACAATATCAATGTCGAAATTCTAAAAACTTGCTGATAACGAAAGTAAAAGCCTAGACTTAATAACAGCACTATTCAATAAGATATATGACATAGATAAAATACCAACAGACTGGCTAAAATCAACATTCGTAGCATTACCAAAAAATAGAATTCCTCACATTGCGATGATTATCGAATATTAAGCTTGATGTCTCATGTCCTTAAAACTTTTCTCAAAATTATCCATATCACGAATTTACAAGAAGTGCAAGTTCTTATCATTAAGAGACAGGGTTGCGTCTTACCACCGATACTGATTCATTTGTATTCGGAGTCTATATTCAGAGAAGCATTAGACGAGGTCCAAGGCGGAATTAGATTAACGAAATCAGCCATAAAATTCATAAAATATTTGGGAGTAAATATCAATTAGTCAGCGTAATCCAAAAAAAAAAAGAAATCCTATCAGAGAATCGAACAAGCAAGGAAACATTCATGAGCATGAAAACATTTTTTACAAATTCAGTCCTTAGTCCTGCAGCTTAGAATCCGAATGATCAGATGTTACGTTTTTTCTGTCTTACTGTATGGCTGTGAAAGTTGGACAATGGACTCTGAAATAGAAAAAAGAATAGATCAGTAGGAAGAACGCCAGAACTCATGGCTGAAAGACCTGAGGAGATGACGGCGCCATGAGAAGAAGTGTATAGTAATGTCGTGTATAATAAATTCCTATATTTATTAACTTCGACCTATATTAATCCATTCCAAACATAGACTTCTTGATAACTTAAAACCTCTATAACTTAAAATATTTGGTTTTTTCCTTGGACTTTAAACTTATCCAGGTTCTACTCTATGTTTTAAAATATTTCTTTACAAATGCTTCGTAATGTAAGCAACTCTTTCAATGGCTTCTTTCAAGCATATATAAATGTTTTGAAAGGTCATTTTGAATGTTGAAATTAGTGTTGTTTTTATTTTTCTGTGTTATTTTTTTTCAGTTTTCCGTTAAATTTTTTTATAAATTTTATTAAAGTAAGTTGTTTTCTTTTCTGTACTTATTTGATTACTGAACTAACATACAATAATGGTAAACTGTCAGTTTTTGACAACTCAATCATGGCCAACTCACAATAATCATTTGTAAACGTTCTAAATACCTGCTAGTTATTGAAAACTATGACTACAACAGTGATTGCTTTTGTAACCTTTTTCAAATATAAAGGGTGTTGAAGTTGTTATGAATGTCATTGAAATTTGGTTATAACTTTTTAAATACCGAGTATAAAAAATTACAACTTTATATCCTAGTAACGAGGAAGTAAATCGATCTTAAATTTAATTAAAATACACGGGTGTTTCATTAAAACCATGTATCTTTGATACGTTACAGTGTTATGGAGATTCCTGTATATTTGTAACTAATTTTAGAATATGAGCTTATAGTTGTCTCCTATTTTTGTAAATAGGAGACAACTATAAATTTTTTTGATATCTCCTATGTCACAAAAGTTGATCACCCTGTATAATCTGACAGGAAACTGTATATTTTCTTTTCATCAAAGCGTGATATTTTTTCCCAATAAACACCATTAAGTAACTTAACAACTCATTTTGTTTTATTCGTTATTAATGATGAATAGTAATCAAAGTATTTTTTAGCGTATGTAAGAATTTCGATGTATATGGAGATGGTCAATTTAAGGCAAATGTGGCGTTCCCGTATTTGACAGCAGTGAATAATGTTTCACAGTTTATAGCCATGTACTGTCTGGTAATGTTTTACAAAGCGAGCGTTGCTGAATTAAAACCTATGAAACCACTGCCCAAATTTTTGTGCATAAAAGCCGTTGTATTCTTTTCGTTTTTGTAAGTATTCATACAAAGTATTACATTAGTCCCAGATAGCGAAGAGCCGTGAGGAGATGTATACTTACCAATGCCTTGTTTCAAACACAACTGGATTCGAAAATTAAAATATTTGTCAATTTATATCGATGAAAATTAGCTACTGCTTCCGTAAAAATGGAATGTCTATATAATAAATTCTAAATATTTTTTGGAAATGAAATGGACCACAGGAGTGATGACGTAGATTTTATTGACATCTGTCAGTTTCACTTTCCAAACAAACCTTGTTTAGTGTAGATAATTTGTATTTTTAGTTATTTTTTCATTTATTTTATAGAATCTTTCCGCTTTTTGCAATATTTAAGTATTCTAATAGTTAGTACAACAATTTTACAAGGTTGTGTAAATAATAAGCACATTGTTTTTATGCTAATAGCTATAAAATGCATATATCAATAAAGTAAGGTTAGTATTTCTTTAATTTAAACTTTTAAACTATATTTCATAGAAATAGAACTCAGAATTATCGTAAAAAATACTATGCTTACAAGAAAAAGCAGCAGAGGTAGGAAAATGTTAACTTTATAGATATTAAAAAGTCTTGAGATTTGACATTTCAACTTTTGTTTGGAAAGTAATAATGACAATGTGACAGTCGTGACATCACACTCCGGCGGTCCATTGAATTTGACGACATGTAAAGCATTTTACATTAATTTTAACACGAATTTTGCCACTGCGCTCTCAAAACTCGCGTCTCTTCCCTATATTGGTCTAATGTATATATTTTATAGTTCTTTGCCACCATACAATACGAATTCTATCAATTAATACGAGAAAAGACGTTACTACAGTCAAAAAGTTAGAGCAGCTATATTCAACCTTATAGAAATATGGAAAATGGGAAAACGAAACTTTGTTTTACCAATATTCAGTTAAGCCTCTGAAACTTGGATCATTAGAACACAGGATATGAGAAGAATTGGCGCATTTGGGATATTGCATTGAAGGAGAATGCCTCGAGTACTTTGAACATCTAGAAACACAAACACATCAGTTCTTGAAAAGGTTAACTTCGTATCAACAAGGATATTATGGTCATATTGTACCCTGCAATTTCGGAGGTTGTTGAAATGTAGCTACAAGTACGAACTGGACGAAACCACCTGCGAACGGCACTTAGGTTTTGCGGTGAGGTTGGTCGGGGATAACAGTTCCAAACAGATTTCAAACGGGGCCAAAAAAATCATGAAACACAGAAAATTAGTTGAATACCACCTTGTTTTTATTAATAAATACAAGGAAACTTGATGTACAAATAGAAAGACTTTTTTTTAAAAAAAAATATGTAATTTGTTTTCATTTGTATATAAACTTAAAAAAACCAACCAAAACCGACGAATCCTCTCTATCGATCTTTGAATGAAAGGTATTACGCAAACTATTCTGAGCAGTCTGTGAAAATGGAATATATAGGCGTAGACATAACTTTGGTGAACTACAGAATATCTACAAGCCCAAGTCTGGTGAAAAAGATATTACCACCATAATCAAACGATAACAATAAAACACTGAAAACTTTGTTTTTAAAACTTCCACAAAATTTATTATAATATCTTATCACTATAGCTGTTTCAGCAGAGTGGCTTTCTCAAGTGATCTATTTTTGGTATGTGTTAACACTGTTTAGTCTTTAACTGAATAGGTTGGGAGGGGAGAACAGTTTGTCTGAAGTTGTTCATTCAGAATTATGCCTGTATTTTTTAATTTGTTAATTTCTATAGATTCTAATAAAGATTGCTTAAGGCTTTTATTGTGGATGTGAAGAATTTGAAAATCTCTCGTCATTAAAAGAGTGATTATGATCTAGGAGAACTGCGTGTGTTGAATCTGTTTTTCTATTATTGAAAGCTCTCTTATGTTCTGATGTACGTTTGTTAAAAGTTCCAGTTTGAACGATGTAAGTTTTTGGGTAGTCGCCACATTTAAGTTTGTATACACTACTGTGTAAGTGCATTTTATTTTGGCTCTTGTTGTTTATAATATATTTGCCTCAGTTGATGTTTGTTCTAAAAGCTGGTGTAATTCCTTTCATAATTAAAAATACAGCAGTGGTGGCTCGTGGCTTGAGAGACAAGGTCGGCAAGGTATTTTTTGTCTCCTCAGATAGGTATTACCGTCTAATAAAGACTTCAATCATCATAGGTGATTTTTTGTTTTCTTGTTTTTTGTTTTTTCCTATAAATTTAGAACCTAAACATGTTTATAATTAACTCTAGTCTACGTTGTTTGGAAGTAGCAAAATGGGTAATAACGTCATCGTAAAATTTATTAGAGTTTTGGAGAGATTTTAAAAGTTTTTTTTCTATTGACATTTGAGACAAGCTTGACATTCTCTCTTGTTTCATGGTATTTCGACAATAAGTTTTGATTCTTTCGAGGCAGAGAAATCTCGTTCATTTGAGGCAGACGTTGGTGGTAATGAGAGAATTAATGACAATAATTTATTAATTTCGGTAACAGTTTGTTGTAATGAATTGCAGTATATAAAATTATACATATCTTGTAACTTATCCCATCTTCCGAAAATATTTGGATCAGCATATAAAACTTTTAATTCATTTTCTAATTTTATTTTATTAAAGAATGATGGATAATATTTAATTAACCTGTCTAATAAATATCTTAGAAATTCTTTGGCGTAACTTTTAAATTTTGGATCGTCAGAGGTCAAAAATTTGCAAATCTTCAAAATTCGAAAAAGGAGTATCTATTTGCATAATAATAGTATCCAAAATTTCAAAATATACTCGTTTTTCGAGATCTGTTTCTGTGTCATGCCTTTGTCTTTTTTTTGGAGTTCGGAAATATCAAGCGAGTCCATAACGTCACTGCGTATTATACTGGAAATTACTATCATTACGAAAATCTCTGAGATTTTGCACCAGTCTTGTTATTCTATTTTTGGAATGAATAATATCAGTTAACTGATTTTGAACAACATTGAATATCAAATCGGTTTGCGTAAATACTTTCTTAAACATATTTAAAAGTATGTTAAAGAGTAATCATTTAATAAAGTTTTCAAACCGATTGCTTCACGGATCGAGATATCATCACTTTCAAAATCGTCACATTCAATAATAAAATCAAAAACTTCCAAAAGCTGTTCACGAAAATCTGCTACAGTGAAATCTAACCGAGATTTAAAAATTCCATCGCGTCTGACAAACTGTTGGCATTTTTTTCGAAACAAACCGTTCTAAAACATTAGTCCGTTTAGGCGAGCTTGAGAAAAATGAAGCAAATCCGCTTAAACTGGCAAAAAAAAGACGACATTCTTTAATTTTTTTACATGTATCTTGCAAAACTAAATTCATTCTATGCGCATGACAATGAGTAAATAAAGCTTGCGGTACAATAGTTTTAACTTTTGCCTGGAGACCATTTAATTCACCAGACATCACGGCAGCGCCGTTATAAGTTTGCCCTACCAATTTATTTTTAATATCAAAAAAGTTTAATCTGCCCTTTAAAACACCAATGTTCTGCCTTATGGCTTTTACTCACGTCTGTAAAACCTAAAAACAATTGATAATTGTGAGTGACATGATATATCGGTAGTTTCATCTACTTCTAGTGAAAAGCAAAACTAATTGATTCTATTAATTCATTCTGGATTGTTTTAGATACACCGCTAAATGTCTTCGAATCAGAAAGTAAATTAGAAAATTCCAAATCGTATTTCTTAAACATTTTTTATTAGTTCTCTATAATTACCTTGATTTAACGAATGCTCCGATTCATCGTGTCCCCTAAAAGATAATTCCTGACAACTTAAAAAATTACAATATCAATTAAACGACGTAAAACTGCGTGATTATTTTTTACAATTTCGTTATGTTTAATAGCATTTTCACGTTGGGCATTATCTAATGAAACATGGATATTTTGTTTTCCAAATAAATCTAATTTAATCTGGCTGTAAGTATGATCTTTCATATGTATAACACGTTTATGTAAAGCCCTAAATAATTCCTTTAAATTATCGTAACCAGATTCCCACCACGGATTTTGATGTTTGCCCCTATTTGTCGAAAATAAAATGCAAGGCCAATAGAAAAGTTTGTTTTTTATTTCACTCCAGTAAGCCATGAGTATTTGCTGTACCAATTATCTGAAAATGATCTATTATTTCCCTTACCCGCACTAATATTTATAAGCCGGGACATTTTAGGCAAAGGACGCCCCTTATTTTTAATAACAACTTGTTCTTCGTATGGAATAGGTGAAAACCCATTATGCAAAATATAATTTACAATATCAGACTTATCAATACTTACAGTTTCTTCCATGGCTTGCATTTTTTAGGTGTTTACTGAATTTGTTTACACGTTAATTAAAAAAAACTTCTAATATGTCAAAAAACCCTTTAACCTTTAACTATTTACGGCAGACGTAACGTATCACAGTATTACTTTAGAAAATAAAAATAAATCACAAAAAGAAAGGCTAGTTCGTGCACTGAATATCACTTCAGTTTACTACATATATGAAATAACATTTCGTCCCACGCTCGCAATGTACAGTTCGCGACCAATCACCAATCCAAATGAAACATCGGCAAATTTAAATTAGCCGTACTTGGTAATTAAGTTCATATGGAAAGAAATGTATATTTGGTTGCTAATCAACCAATAATCCGTTGATTTTTACAAGTAAAGTCAAGGTTGGGATCGGCTAGCCGAAAAAACAAAACGTGCCTTTTTAAGAATTCATAGGCGGATGGATGTGTCCGATATCGGAACATCTATTTGAAAAGTGTTTACGCAGGGATCACTTAACGCTCAGATTGGACGAATTCTTTTAAAAAGCATGAATAAAATTTAGTCTTTATTATCTCACAGATATTTTTTTAGTTCACAAAAACAAATGACATCAACTGATTACCTGCCACAATTATTTATTGAAATACTGATTAAATTAAATATTAAAATAATCTATAATATCTATAAAGATGTGAGTCGGCACTGCCGACCCTGACCGGCCGCCACTGAAATACAGATCGCTTGAGAAAGGCACTCTGCCGAAACAGCGGTAGTAATAAGATATGTAGTATAATAAATTTTGTGGAAGTCTTGAAAACAAAGTTTTCAGTGTTTTATTGTTTATCGACTGAATTTCCATCAAGTAATTGTCGAATCCAGCACTTAGAATCAAGCGAGACCGTCTGCAGTAGGCAGGACATGTAACCCGTGTCCCGTAATCAAACATGATAAAGAAGATTTTAGAGCTAAGGTGTATAGACGGCGTAACACAGGAAGCTGAGAAGATCGGTGCTGCAAATTAAAACACTCAAGCAAGAGACAGATCAGAATGACTCAGAAAGCTTGAGAAGATCGAGACCCTTTAAGAAATTTTGATCAATATAATATTTTACTTCCATGTTTACTTATTTCAATCTATGGAATTTTGTCAACCTTTTCCTTTCAAATATGTCAAATTGTTTGTTTTAACTTTATTTTTAATATTTTAGCCAGGGAGTGCTCATACAATTAGCCGTCTACTTTGAGTTCATTAAACCCGGCGCAGATTCTCCGGATCAAGGTCTAAGTCTTTCTACGAGACTCCAAAATTTCTTAATTTGCATCGAGATGTGTTTGGCTGCAATTGCCCATCACTACAGTTTCTCTTATGAACAATACCTAATGCCCGGATCGCCTAGCAGAAACCAATCCTGTTGTTCATCGTTCCTGGCCATGTGGGATATTTCTGACGTGCATACGGATATTAGGGAACATATAGGAATAGTTAGTAAGTATATTTTCGGTTTTTAATCAAATTATATGCACTTAAATCGTTAAATATTTCTTTATAGAACATATTTCTTAGTATATAATTAAGGGACAAAATAATATTGTTACAATTTTTCACACTGGTTTCACACTTATTTTCAACACTGGTTACTTTTCGTCCAACTCAGAATCTAGTGAAATAAATTTCATAATATTACAAATTAAACTGGAAAACCCACATTACGAATTTACAACTAACTTGTCAAAATAGAATAAACTTGCTGAAAATTCTATCAAGTAATATATGGGGAGCTGATTCTAGTATTCTGCTTAACCTCTACAAATCAATTATTACCAGTAAACTGGACTACGGTGCAATATGCTACGATACAGCAAATAAAACGTTCCTAAAAAAACCTTAACACAATTCAAACAACAGCTCTAAGACTAGCCGTCGGTGCTTTCAGAACCAGTCCTGTAAGCAGCTTACAAGTACTATCAAGATAACCCCCTCTACATATAAGACGAGATCTACTTAGTTTAAATTATGCAGCAAGAATATCTTCCAATAAAAAGCACCCATTATATTCGGATATTATTAACACACCTACATCCAATTTGTATAGAAACAAACAATATAAAGAAAACCCTTTAGGGAAAGAATCAATCAAAAAGGATTTAATTGCAATGAATTCAAATTATCCATAACCACAAAATTAGACTTCCCTCCATGGCTCACCCCCTTACCTATCACCAATTTAACTTTAACACAGTACCTAAAAAATACCACAAATCCTAACCTTATCATTAATGCATTCAAAGAAATTATGGAGAAGTATCCAAATCACCACATAATATACACAGATGCATCAAAAACTGAAACTGGCCATGCCGCAGCCTTTACAAATATGCCATTAGAATTCCACAGCACTACAGCATTTGCACTGGGGAAACCACAGCGATATTAGAAGCTATCAAAAACTCGTCTTCAACGACTGAAAATAATATTTTAATCATCACAGATTCACTCAGCGCAATTCATGGAATTAATCAACTTTTCCCTAGCCATCCTATTGCACAAAATATAAGAAATGAACTTAATGCACTATACAATATAAATAAAAAGGTTACATTTATCCGGATACCTTCACACATTGGCATTAAAGGCAACGAGGAAGTTGATCAATTGGCATTAAAATACATCAGAAATGAAAATGTTCCAGAAATTACTAAATATCTCCACATCGACCATAAACGACAGTCCATGAATCATATAATAAATTTATGGCAAGCAACCTGGGACGCAACGATCTCTAAATTGAAAACAATAAAGCCTCGAGTAGACGCCAGCCTACCACAACAAGGAAAAAGAAGAGAATCAAGTAATCGTAAATCGTCTTCGAATCGGCCACACAATACTAACACACCAACACCTTCTAAATAAAGAACCAGCTCCGATTTGTACCTACTGCTCTACTCAACTCACCGTGAAGCATCTGATAATCGACTGTCTGCAGTTCCAACCTCAGAGAACTTGCCGAGGAATTAGTGGAAACCTGAGAAGTAGATTCTTTCCTATCACACATCCCTAGATTCATCATCATCATTAACCATTTTGCGTCCACTGCTGAACATAGGCCTCCCGTAAATAATTCCATTGCCTCCGATCTTGAGCAACTTGAATCCAGTTAGACTGGATGCGCTTTAAATCGTCCGACCACCTTGTTGGAGGACGTCCTCGACTACGATAAGCATCGAGGCCTAGACACGATCCCTAGATTATTTAATCGAAAATATAAATTTCTCTTTTTTTCAGGTAGTTCAATAAGTAGAAGAATCAGAGGTAGAAGCATGTACAGCATTCCAAGAGGCGAAGATGAATACGCGAATTTAGTGTCGTCCAGGGGAGCGCACAGCATGCCGAATCCAGGGTATTACCAGAACGATAGTGAGGATATAATTGTTAATTATGGTACTGTAAGTTCTAGTCAAACGGCCAAAGTGCATAATAATAAATACAGTACGTAACCCGCGAAAAGATAAGATATCGTTTTACAAGTAATTTTAAAGGTACTTAACTGCCGCCGGTTATATTGATTTTAGGGTTAGTTTTAACAGATCTCTCGAATAACACAGGATGTATTACGATTTTAAACAAAGCAAGTTAGTAAGGTTAGGAATTTACTGATATTTAAGCTTGCTAGTATTATTTCTACATATTGTCGTCCTAATCTGTAAACTGCGTAACTCCATTTGTCCAAATTTTACAGGAGGCACAAAAAACTATCTCCAGCGACGTAAATATATTATTGTTGTCCAATTTTTTTTGTACTGGTTTTAGATTGTTTCTTTTTTATAACTGTTTAGTCAAATTATAGTATTTTTTGTTTATTTTTAATTTTTTTGGAGATACGCAATTTTCTTAGTAATAAACTTGGAGATACGAATTTTTCATGTAAATTAAAAGTACATACAGAACATCAGAAAGTTTACTGCATAACGCAAAATTGTAAATAATAAGAACATCAGAAAGTTTACTGCATAACGCAAAATTGTAAATAATAATAGTTTCATTAGTAAAGGTTAAATGTCCGACAAATAAGGTTTATTTGAGAAATAAAAAAGATCAAAATAAACATTATAAACTAAAATAAACAAAACATTTTTCGAAGTGTTTATTTGTGTGGCAACTCATCATAAAATGAGTGATAGTCAGACAGCAAACTTGTTTTTAAAGCTTGAAGATGATTGTAGTTTTCCAAAGAAATTTTTATTCTTTCGCTGTAGAGGGATGGTAAATTGTCAAATGGTATCACTTCAAACTTGGTATTCCTTCTGACATCCAACATTTTCCAATCTTGATCTGAATGTCTCTACTTGTAAAAAATTCCGTCTCTTGTGTATTTGAGTTGTTTCAGGTCCGTTACATGGGGGTCACCAACTGTTTTTCCAGGTCTGATTGAACTATGGTATTTTAAAGAGTCCATTTTTTTAAAAAATGTATGGTTCAAATATTTCACGGAATAAGGGTCTTTGCAGGCAGTTTCACACACAGAAATATAATCTGCTGGTACATTAATGTTCCTCTTCTTTAATTTTCTCTCAATTGTTGAATGAACAGAATCAACTTCCATTTGAGTATATCCCTTTAAAAGAAATTTCTGAATAATTTCTATATTTTTTTCACGGGCACGATTTAACAAGCTGTTTGCCAGAATGCAGTTTCTATTTTGGTAATTGCAACCATCGCTATACAATATTATGGTGTTAGATGGTACAGACGTTTTTAATAAGTTAGAAATGAAATAGACAATTATTGTTGAAAACTCATTGGCAGTCAAGTTCCCTTCACATTCATTCCACAAAAAGCAAAACCCTTTGTTATCTTTAATATGTCTAATCTAAATTAGTGTATAAATTATGTACTGCCAACTTCATTTTTACATACATGGACGAAACATTGATTTAGGTAACAATAATACAGACTGCAAGTCCATAGAAAACACTGTTTGTTTGGATTTAGTATCTTTGTCTAATTCATCTCTAGCTTCTCTTTTCAAGGTCATATGCAAATCAAATTGATCTTGTTCAATGTTTTTACTTTCGTATCCAATGCAGACATCGCAGCGATCTTTTTTAGGAGAATATAATGATAAATTTTGCTCATCAAACATTTTTGAGAACGTTGCATACGATAGAGCAGATGCATTGTTCTCTTTGCAACTATCCTCATAAAATTTATATAACTGCGATTTCGATTCCCAGACTGGTTCCAAGTACAGTTTAGATGAACTGGCACGGCAGTAATGAGATTCTAATTTAAAAAGGTTATCTAACAATTGCCAAAGAAATTTCTTTTGATTTTCATACGGATCCTTTTTGCTGCTACTCGCATTTAAATTAATATTATGTAGGATATTATTATCTTGATGTGCCCAACCTTTAATAACCCATTCTCCTACCGCCAGAGTATTGAGAAACATTTTCTTACAAACACGTACTCTTCCGTTCTCCGTTTTAAAGTAAAATTCGGTGGAAAATTGTCTTCTAGATGTTTCTTCAACGCCTCTCCTTCTTTTTATGGAAATAACGTCTAATGAGCTCTTTACAAATATTCTTTTCTCTTTCCAAGTAAGTTCCCAAAATCTTCTAAATATTGTTTCACGGTGCAGTTCCGTTAACAATCCGCAATTTATCTTACTATTTACTTTACTCAGTTTACAATCACATCTATTTTTCATCATTTTCGGTTGTTTTTTAATATCATAGTTCCATTTATTATCAATCCGTTTTCTACCAAAATAACTTTTTCCGGTTTCCCTTTTTTTTCGATTAATACGGTCACTCCAATTCTGTTCACTTCTCTTTTTCTCTTATTAATTACATTTTTGCCCTCATCTTCAGTATCCAATTCTGACTGTCTGTTATTAGATTCGGCTAATTCATTTTCGTTTTCTATACCTAAAAAAAGGCTTTACAGTTTTGTCTTTCATAATTTTATCTATTTAAACAATTTACGAAAAAATAAGTCCATATGTTTTATTAATTTGATTTTTTCTGAGATATTATACATTCAATAACTTCTGTTATAAGTAACCTAAGAAATTTATCGACTTAACAGAAAACTAAACATCCGATACGTAAAAGAATAAATCTAGAGGAACACATTTTTTATTTACACATCTTTTTAGATTAAATCTTGGCATATCTATAAAGGGAATATTGTATTTTGTCAAAATTGAAATAAAAATAACAAGATATTCGATTTCCGAAGATTTCGTAAATCCACATATTTATACCAATATGACTAATGTGAATACTACGTATCTCCCATTTTAAAAGATAGGATGGTAAAACGGAAATATTTTATAGATACACATATCACTAATATTTGTATATTGTTTAATAAGTATTTAATACTACTTACCACCAACTTTTTCTTGAAAATATTTCAAAATAACGGTAAACAACGCTTTCAAAACAGTAATAGGTAAGTCTTGTGGTATATTCTACGACAAACTAGCGAGTTAAGTATTTTTCGTACTAAATTTGGCGGCAAGGGAGATACGGTGTATACGAAGAGGTCGCTATTTACTTTTCTGGTGTAAATATGCACTTACTTCTTTTCTAGACGATAAGTAGGACCTTTTTAAAACAGATGGCAGTAATAACTCATTTTCAGAGAATTATGGAGTTACGCAGTTTACAGATTAGGACGACGATATAGTAATGCTACATCGTGCATTTGATCCAGAACAATTGAAACCATTCTTCCGAACTAAGGATAAACAAAAAGGGTATCGAGAGTTTAGTAGTTAAAGAAAATAAAACACAAATAATCAGTTACTAGACTGCAAAATGACTTACACTTAATTTCACGTTAAGAGCGGAACGTTTGGCTTATGGCTTTGGCTTAACTATCACTTACATACTTTTCGGATTTGTCGCTTTGTGTTCGCCGATTTTCACACTATCACATAATTTACTCACTTCAAATTAAAATCATCCTAATCTTCCCTATAATCGCTATTACTAGCATTGCTATTACTGTCATCGCTATCACTGTCATCGCTATTACTGTCAACCGTCACATTTATTACCACAGGATCAATATCGTCCATCAACTCAGCAATAACCCAAAATGTTTGCTCTTCCTTAATAGCAAGTTTACAATAGTTTTTTCAGTTGTCCATCACATCTCGTCGATTTTATATGTTATGTATTCTTCTTTGAATGTGTTTACTGAACTGAACTTTGAATGTAACTTCCTTAAGCTCTGATTTTAAATAATCTTCAACAAAAAAGATATGTTTCTCCGGCATCCATGTCTTACTTTGATCTGTATTAAACGCTTGTGTCGGAATCACTTCTTCTCTCCTCGAATGGTACGAGCCGTTGTCCATCCCCAGAAGATTAAAAAGCATCTTTTGCTTAAACCATTGTTCAAATAGATAGATAGCGCAATTCACTACCCACACGCCTTATAACAAATCGAGGCCCTCATTGTGCCAGATGTTTTAGGCCTGTTGACAACCGCTTAACAAACGCTTCCCTGCCTGCAGTCACTGAGAGTTCCTTCCATTCTTTGGAAACACTATGTCCGACGTTCTGTTCTTAACTTGAAACGCTAGATAGAAAAAGTAGTTGTTGTCTAGATGCCTAACATCTCGCTGCTCTAATCTCAATCCAATGTTGGGAACAATGGGTTGACATATTGCTTGCGAGATTTTCTCCATTTCTGAGGTGTTATTGTGTATACCTTACTTTTCCTCTTTAACTATTTCACAAGAAATAGCTAAGAGGATTGAGATCAGGATTCCTCAGGGTGTCTCTACGAAAAATCGTTGTGTAGGAGGTTACCGATTGAGAAATTACCAAGAGAAATAAAGTATGCGTAAGAGCACCAAAACTAGATTGGGAAAATGTCGTAAATCAAAAACTGGAAGTATGACGAAAAATAAAAAATAAATGAAGAAAAATAGTGAACCAAGCTGGACCTGCTGAGCCCGCAAGGTTAATATATTCATTTTTATTATATTTAATCCTGTTTTAAAGTACCAAATATGTGATATTAGAAGCGATTACCATTTTTTTAGGCGAAAGATTTATAAAAAACCTAAACCTTGTAGACTTATGTCCAAATAATTACCTTTTATTACAAATTTACCCCCCTAAATAATATAATAATGTTTTACCGAAATTTTGAGTTAAAAATCTGTGATTTTATACCCTAACCTGACTAAATTGGTCCAAAAATATAATTATTTAATATAAGACGGTCAGTGTGTATTTTATTTACCAAAGTGACGATGAAGCATCGTTTTTTTAATACCAATTGATCTGATATAACCCTTAAGTATAAACCATATAAATCATTTCGTGTGCATTTATAAATTTGACATATTTGGTGAATATTTAAATGAATTTAAAGTAGTGTTTATTAGTTTATTTATGGACTATTGAGTATAAATTATTTCCATTAAAGTTAGTTGCATGTCATCCAATTTTGACGTTGACATTTTCGCACAAATCTCTATCTCTCTCA